CTCTACTCAACTGGACAAATTAAAAGAAGTTAGAGAACTTTCACCTCTATAACAAGTAATGAAAAATAGCAAAAGCCCCACATCTTTCCATGGAGTCCATACTAGTTTGTGAACTTACTATGTAGCTGTGGATTCCAATCTTCCTGCCTCTAACCCCTAAACACGGGAATTACAGGTCTGTGACACCATGTGCAGCTTTTTTAAAAGAATTGTTGCTGTTGTTGAGAGAGGGTCTCACTCTGTAACCTAGGTTGACCTGGAACTCTCTATGTGGAGTCCAGCCTGGCCTTGAGTGCACAATGATCCTCCAGTGTCAGCCTCCCTAATGCTGGAATCATATTAGGAGTAAGCAACCACAGCCTCCTAAAAATCATACTTAAAAAAATAAATTTTGCCAAATGTAAGAAGTTAAAAACACAGGGATGACAAAAACCAGGGGGAACATGTCCAAAAGAGATCATGCACTGAACAAAATCAAAGGTCACTGTGAGGCGGAAGGTTCTGGAAGTTCTGCACCTTTTGGGGGTCTGAAGAAGGTCTGGAGGATAAGGAGAGCAGTAGGCACATCTTGAGGTTGATCAGAGCACAAGACAGGCCCTGGGGGTGGTCTGAGAAATGGTGGGAAGATGAGCTGAGGTGGAACACGAGCACAGGAACCCAAGGGAAATGAAGAGCGGCCTCTAAGTCTGTGGAGCCTGCGGTGCTCCTGGTGCCCTACGGGGGTGGGAGCCAGAGTGTCTGAAGTTAACATGTGTCTGTATGTGAGTTACTCGATCGGTTATTCTACTCCATTACTTCATAGCTAATGAGGAATTTACCTGACTTGATCCAAACAAACCATAGAACACAAATGAACTGCACTAAAAAGCAGAAGGGAGAGAGCTAAGTGTTAGTCTCAAGTAGAGCAGAGGGCCCCTTGGCACAGAGCACAGAAAAAGTGGCCCCCCTTCTTCAACCCGGTATCTGGCATTTGGTCATTATGCCTTGATGACTTTTCTTCTAAATGTGGTTCTTGTTTACCAGCTTCTTTCTAGTCTGGCCACCAAGACCTAGTGCAAGCTTACATCATTGCTCCTCACTACAGTGACTTCTCCCTCCCAAAAAATGAAATGGAACATTAGCTGATGTTGCTTTCTCTTCAGTTGGTGAGGTGCTGCTTGCAACCCAAGGCCCTGCCTCACCAGTCAGCTGCCGCTCACACTGGGCCTTGAACCTGCTTCTCCAGAGACATGCTCTAGGAGACCCCTGGGTATTCATGAAAATTTCCAAGTAGACTATGATTTGTAAGCTCCAAGGTGATTACAGTGCTGGCTTGGTGAAATCTCTTTATAAAGAAAACATGACATTTATGTTAAAAATGGACATCAAGTGTCCTTACAGCACAATATGATTTCATAAAGAAAAGATGCTGGCCGAGTGTAGCATGCATGTGGCAAATCTGTGCAGTCCAGTCTCCACCTTTGGAAGACACACGTTTGAGGAGGTGACTCCCTCAGGTTAGACCACCAGGACAGTCATGACACAAATGATGATAGACAAGATCCAGATTCTATTAGATGCATTTTTTTTCTAGCAACTTTTTTCAAATTAATTAACCACAAACACTGGCAAAATATGATAAACACAGAGCTCATTTCCTGGTGGCCCAGACTTGGTTTTCTCTGCCTCTAATTTTAGTTTAATTTTCATAGGAGGGATTTCCTTTCTAAATCATTTTGTCACTCTGGCTCTGAGGTCCATTACAAATATTCCCAAGAGAAGATTTAATAAGCTCTTGATCTCAACGATCAAAAAAAGTGACTGTCATTGTTACTGCTAACCAATTTGAGTTGACACAAGAGAAAGTCTGACATAATGATTCAAATAACTCAGGTATGGTGGCTCGGGGCTGTAATCCTGGCATTTGGGAGGCTGCAAAAGAGTGATCACTGCAAATCTGAGTCCAGCCTGGACTGTATAGTAAGTCTAGGGGTAGCCTAGTCTGTATAACAAGATTCTGTTTCAAATAAACAAAAGAAGTAATTTTTTAAAATAAGTAATTGTTTTACAAGTGAGAAATAGTACATTTCATTCAGAGCTAACACTCATGCTTTTCATCTGCTTTAAAAAAAATCTTGATTTAAATTAGGTCTGACTGAGTATGTTTAAGGTTCACTTCCCACCATAGCAAGCCTCTATTCTTCCTGAGGAGTCTTAACTGAACACTCTCACACTAACGTCCCATCTCCCTTATCCTGCTGCTGTTTTCCCCATCCATTTGCCTCTGTCCTCTACATTAGTTAACACTTGGTATTTATAGGAAACCAGCAGTCTAAGACATTTGTTTTAACCACCCCATTTCACAGGTAAGGAAGTGAGATACCAAAAGATGAAGGAGGGGCCAAAGCATGCCCTCCTGGAGTGGTGGGGCTGGGATTTGGCCTCCACGGCCTTGGCTGGTGTCCACCGCTGCAGGGGCTGCTCTGCCACTCCCAGGGCCTCTGGATGTCTTCTCATTGCCCTCCCCTTCCCTACTTGTTTGATAGTCTCCCAAGGTTGCCCAGGCCAGGCTCACATTTCTCTAGGATCCTCTTCCCTTGGCCTCCCAAAAGCTGGGATCACAGGCACGCATGCGCGTCCCTACACCAGGCTCTTCTCTCCCTCCCCTGTACCCCACCCACCTCATTTTTCACCTCAATTGTGTTATAAAACATCTACTCGACATTTGGAAGGCAGAGGCGGGAGAATCAGGAGTACAAAGCAAGCTTTGGCTACAGGAGACCTGTGTCAAAAGAAGAAAGAAAAAAAAAAAAAAAAAAAAAGGAAAGAAATAGGACCTTGATAAAGCACACTATGTCTGAGAAGGTTCCAGAGAAGACCTACCCTCAATGTTCAAAGTACCATGCCATAGGCTGGGAGCCATCACCGATTGAAAAGGGAGAAAGGATAAAGCCAGCTGAGCCCAGCAAACCCCCACCTCATGCATGCACTGTGTGAAGTTACCTCATGCCCCTGCTGCTCATGCCCCTGCTACCAGGATTCCCTGACAGGATGGACTGTTCCCCGAGTCCTGAGCCCCTGTCAGACATGTGGTCAGAGCAACCAAAAAAGTTACCGATATGCACAACCTTGGCTCAAACTTCTGATCCTTACCTCATCTTCCTGCTTGCTGGCACTGTATGTGGGTGCTATCAGGCCAGCAGACTGTGCTGGCTTTTTCACAGTCTAAAACACAGGTGCTCAGGAAATACTGCCTGTCTGAATGGGCTTCTTCTAGATACTCTGTACCTCTCCAAGAGGTTCTAACCTGAGCTGCAAGGCCTGGCTGGTTTTGACAGACAGTCATGTTCTGGACTCCCCACTCACCGCCTACATCCTTTACTAACTTTATTTGACCTCCCTTCAGTTGGCCTGACCCTGGACTCCTCAAATGACTGGTAAATAGTCACTAAATTAATGAGTCTCTTCCTCATCAGCGCTGAAGCCATACACCAAGCAGTCTAATGACGAGATGGTATTCTAGAAACTACTCTTGACTAAATAAAAAACTTTATCTTTTGTGAACTGGCCATGGATATTTCCTAACTGCTACTTTCACTGTTTTTAAATGCATGAAAACTGCATGTGTGTGGAACTAAATCTGGTGTACATTCAATGTTTAAATGATTTAAACTCATTATTACTATTTGCATAGGTAAAAAGCTTAAGGGGCAGAGATTTGCTAGGGGGCAGAGAGTTAAAATGCTAAACTGTAAGGGACTCAGCTCTCGCAAACCACACTGCATTGTCTCCCTTTAACAATCTTAAATCATACCATATGATTCTCATTATGATTATTATGGCGTAAAATAGGGCATAAATTAAGAACTTCCAGACTTTTACAACTAAAGCAAAATCCCTAAATTAACATTCACTTAAGAAGAAGATATCTCTGACTTCTCCAGAAGTCATGAGAGTGTTCTGAAAAGCTGGTAACTTAAGAGAATCATTCTTTATCAAGTACATATTGAGTGCACTTGCTAGGTGTCTGAGCTAGATGCTGAACCATGAATGAGTCAGTCTTCTCATACTTGTAGATAGCAAAGAAATCAGGCAACACAGAGACAAGGATGGGGAAGTGAGTTCACTGCCCTACAAAGGCAGTCCATTCTCAGCAGTGTGAGGACAGTTGAGACAGCCCCAGATGTGGCATGGACCACATTCTGTGCATAGCTAAGATGGAGTTCGTGTTGGCTAACCAAAGACTGGAAAACAGGGAAGTGGGGATGATGGGCTTCCAGTAGAAAAGGAAAATACATCTTGGCACTTAAAAAATTAAAAATAAAAGATAAGTCAGTCTAACAATGGTGAGCAGGATTGGATGGATAGGCACAGACAACAATCAGTAATGCTGGATACATATATTCAGTTTAACCAAGGGACTGGTGGAATCTGAGATAGCTTTGTAGAAATGGTTTTGTAGAAATGAAGTGGTGTCAAGGATGTGGTTTTGGGAATGTAGATAGTGGTAGTACCCATGGAGTCCAGGGGTAGTAGGGTCTGGTGGGGTACAGGTTGCATTGAGTCGCTAAACAACTGCAGCTGGGTGCTGGGTGCTGGGTGCTGGGCTCTGGCTAAGGAGAGCTTTTTACGTAATGAAGTCTTTCTTCACATCTGTAATAGAAGTTACCTAAAGGCAGGCACTGAGGTGGAGGTAAGCAGAGCCCACTCTGTAAAAAGGAAGGCAGGAGTGTGCTGTTCACAAAGGAGATCATAAGCCTCCAGAGGCACGAGAGCTGACGGATCCCAGCTGTTTACCCATACCAGGTCCTTTGCTCCTGGAAGCACCACGCAACGTGGAACTCACCTCTCAACACACACACCCTTCAGCACAAGCTTATCTATTTTGAGGCAGGCTCTGGCTGACTGACCCCAAGGCTGACATCGCCCCTTCACGGAAGGTCCCTGTGGATGGCCTCGGGGAAGGGAGGTTGCCCAGGCGGCCTTGGGCATAAGGACACCCAACTTCCCTCACCACTCACCGCGCAGGAAGGCGGCCCTCCTTCAGGCCAACTCAAGTCATCTTCCTCATCCTGCTTGCTGCAGAACCCGAGCGAACTCAAACCAGCTCCCTCACTGACACCTGTTGGTTTTTCAGTCAATTCCTTTTCTGGCCCTGAGGGACTGAATCTACGCTTCCACTTCTTCCTCCACAGCCTCGGGCGCTCAGCCAATCAGGAATGACAACGCTGCAAGGTAGAGTAGCGCCATAGCGACGGGTGACGCCTACCCGGCTACCTTAGCAACCAGAAAACGCCCGGTGAAGCTCAGGGTGCGTGGACCTAAACTTGTGTGCTCTGTCCTAGTCAGAAGAGGCTTGGAATTCAAAATAGTTTATCTCAGGTGGTCCAAGAATTATCATGGACTGCAAATCAGTTCTCAAAGATTAAAGGGGGAAATGAAGCACGTCACATGCTCAGTTTCTGGGTTTGGGGGTTGAGAAGGACTTGGAATCTCATTTGTAGGCCAGGCAGGACAAGAACTAAGACAGCCTGCTTAGTATCTTAGATGCACAAAATCACTTCAAGCTGCTACCGCACAATACATGTCTCAAGCAGAAAATCCTGAGACAACATGTTACGCAGGCACAAGAGCTTTCTATCAGACTTTTGTCACCAGATCATTCAGTAGCTTTGCAAAGTGACACAACTTTTTAGAAAGTCTGTAGAGATTTTCTTAAAATAAAAATTCGAGTTGCATTAAAATCGCCTTTAAAAAGGCAAAACATAGAGCCTTTGAAAGTACCAAAGGTCGATTTTTGGTGAGCACAAGTCCTAAGGATGTCATTTCACATGCTTCATTATCCAGAGCTGTGAACAAGAAATGACACAGTGACTGCGGATATGGCCTTGACAGGGCCCTCGGGTATAGTGCCCTACCCACAAGCACTGGAATACTGGGGTGTGGGTAACTCAGCACTCAGTAAGTGGAAGCAAGAGGATCAGGAGTTTGCAGCCAGCCTGGGTTGAGACACCGAGGCAAAAAACTACATCAAAACAAAAACCAACATACAAACATTTAAAAGTACAGTTCTACACTGGAAATGACAGCACGGGAGAGGAAATGCAAACTGAGGCAAACACAGCACTAACTTCAGGGCCTGAAACCCGCAGGGCTGATTTTCCCAAATAAAAGCCAAAATGGTCACGGGGCTGTAAAGCTAGAGTAGAACAGAAAATTATTTTTGTAAACTCCTAATTACCAAACACGGAGCTAAAGCAACTAGCTGAAGATTGACTTGTCTTTGGTGGGATACAAAATATGCTTTCCTATCTTTCTACTTCTCCATAAAATAAGTGTGAAATTAATACTTTGACCTTCCATGACAAGTTATCAATGTTTGCTCCATAAAAGAGAGCATGACACCCTGGCTCCGGAAGACAGGTGATTATCTCCAACTGTCTAAGAGTGCAGCCCAAACTGTGTAATAGGACCCATGACCCCACTAAGGCCAAAGACAGGTGATCACCTCCAGGCTGTGTGATTGGAATCCATGACTCTATAAGGGACAAGTCTGAGCCATTCTGTGTATCCTGTCAATTCAACTCAATCCTAGGACACTTACCATTTTTTGTTTTTGTTTTTGTGCATTACTATCTTGAAATGAATGTCTAAACTACATAAAGTATAATGTATTGAGTCCTAATTATAGCCTAAAATAAGCAGACTGGAGAGATGGCTCAGTGGTTAAGAACATTTATTCCTCTTGCAGGGGATAAGAGTTCATTTCCCAGCATTGACATCAGTTTACAACTGCCTATAATTCCAGCTCTGGGGAATCTGACACCCTCTTCTGGTCTCAGTGGACACTTACGCACACGTACACACACACACACACACACACACACACACACACACACACACAAATAAAACATAAAACTAAAAGAAAGGAAATAAAGGCAAATTAAACCTACACCAAGATATTTAGGATCAATTCAAGGCAAAATTGCATCATAAGTTTCTGAAAATATCAGGTGTGTCCAACCTGTGGCCCACAGGCCACAAGTGCTACAGGATTGATATCAATGCAGCCCAATTTAAAACAGCAAACTTAACATTATGGAAAGAAAATTTTGTGTGTTTTTGGTAGGGTGAGGTAACTTGATACTTGAGTGTATAGTTCTCAAACATGTACTTAGTAGATAATATAGTATCCCAATGTCAAATGCGTGGTTGAACACATTTTCAAGACCCATGGCCTATTAAAACAGAAGGTATGTGTCACACACACACACACACACACACACAGAGAGAGAGAGAGAGAGAGAGAGAGAGAGAGAGAGAGAGAGAGAGAGAGAGAGAGAGAAGAGCAGAGACAGACATACAGACACACCGACCACAAAAACAAGAGAGGAGAGCAGAGACCTACAGACACAGACACACAAATGTTGCACGAATCCTAAATGGTCTTCTAATAAAAACCCAGAGCCAGATATCAGGGTGACAGCTGAGAGATCAGAGAAGCACAGCAAGCCACAGCCAACACCTCTTCACCAATTCCTCAGCCTCTCCAGTGTAACCCAATGTGGCCTAGAACTCACAGAGATCCAGACAGATCTGGGCCTCTGCCTCCCGAGTGCTAGGATTAAAGGTGTGTACCACCACTGCCTGACCTCTATGTTTGTGGCTTGTTCTGTCCTCTGATCTTCAGGCAAATTTGTTCAAAATATCACCACACACACACACACACACACACACACACACACACACACACATACTGTGAGAGCAAAAGAGGAGGAAGAGACACAGAGAGACACACACACAGAGACAGACACACACATAGGGGCAGAGAGGGGGTTGTAACAAGACTAAGACTGATCCTGAAGTCGATGCAGACCTTTAGATGGGCTTTGAAAGAAAAGCAAAAGCAGAAAACATTTTGCAAACATGGGAAATGTCTCCATTACAAGCATAGAAAGGCCCACCACAAGGAGAGCAAACTCAAACTCAGACCAGGCAGACAGCAAGCAGTCCTGAGTAAGGAATGCCTTCCTGGTAAACAGTGTTAACAACAGTCTGGTGTGTAAGTGTAGATTATCTCTCAACTGTAACAGAACACTCCAAAGCCATAAACATTTTTCTTCATTTCACTCCCACAGCTTAACAAATTTACAATGAGATATAAGAAGGCTCTCGATTTGGAAAACAGGAGCAAAGTGTTACATGCAGCAACAGGAAAACAATCAAAATCAAAATAAAATTAGCCAAAAGAGAAACAGGCCTTGAGCAGAGATCAGTGTTATCAAGAAAATGGTAATACAGTACACAGTACAAGTTTCTAGGTTTAAAACACAAGAGAAAATTGGGCAAGCTTTTGAAAGGAATGCTACCTTCAACATTTCCTAACTATAAAAATGCCATCATTTTCTTTTTTCTTCTCCTCTTCTTTTCTCTTTCTCTTCTACAGGAAGGACTGGCAAGCAGGAAGCAGAAGGCACTCACTCCCTTCCTCCCTGTCCCTAGCTTAGACTTGCAGCTCTCCCAATAACAGAGTAAAAACGACAGCCAACAGTTTGCTATGTAGACTTTTATTGCTCTTTCAATTTTCAATAACATCTACAAAAAAATAGTTTTCTCTAACAATTAGGAAACAAATGTGAAAGGCAGGATGGTTCACATTATAGACTCAAGTAGAGACTTTTACTTCATATAGATGAAAAATATCAGGTCTACAATTTGTTTAATTGACTTTGGATTTTATTACAAAAGAAAATACCATTGCAATTATAATAAACACCATAAAAATTGTAACTAGATTGGGAAATCACACCAATATCAAATATTATATAAATGGACAACAAATTTGAATTTTAATTTAATCCTAACATAGTAAACACTGGAAGACACCTTACCCCTAAAAAGTCAAAAATTTTGAACAAAGGAACAAAAGAAAAGCTACACAGAAACAATCAATGTGCAAAAAATATGATTAAAAACCATAGAACTGGGGCTTAAATTCTAAGTACGCATTAAAACTTTAAAATAATCTTTACATGATTTTATTTGACAATTTACTTTCCAGAAAGTTAAAAGGGACCTTGCAATTAAAATGAATAAATCTTGTAATTGGAACACTATTTGAAAACTTGAATGCAGTTTCTCTTTAAATCTACTTTCTAAAAATAAATAATTGTTGGACTAAATGAAGACAGTTTCACATATCGGCGCTACAAATGATAACAATGATGAAACCTACATGAATACATTTCAGACATGTAAATTACTTAATATAAACGCATTTGAATTAAAATGCTGTATTGATGGCTCAGGTATCCCACTCTGAGCACTTTGTCAGGATGCAGCTTCTGAGCTGCTGAGCGGTGCACACTCATAAAACCTAAACAGGAAGCTCTGATGTGACACCTCACTGTCAGAGACCATTCTTTCTGAAGAATTTTGAACCTGCCTTTGTGAAAAGGAAACCAGAAAGCTTACACTCAAGCCACATCTTTCAGTGTGTGGAAGAAACAAACACTTCGGGGAATGGAGAAACAAGAGTTAGTGATTCTCAGCAGTAAACAAATTGTAATAAATACATGCATTAGCACACAAAAACATTTCATCCTACGTGTCTTATAGAAAGCTTGGCAAATCTGAACATTGGTACGCCACAAGTTTAAAAAAAGTTAAGAGAGTTAAGAGTGATTTCATACACATACACAAACACTCACACAATGTTTTAAAAACCTTGTACTTCACTTTTGCATATCTAATATTATTAAAAATATATATAGAATCACCCCTTTAGCATCAGGAAGCTAGTTTACTGTTTTCTCAAAAGCTCCTACTTTAGATTGAAACAGTAATACAAAGGAAGTAAATTTCAGATAGTTAACACCAGGATTTATTATAGTCTCTGTAAACACACTCTACAAATAAATAAAATATGGTGGAGGGAAGAGTATCCTGAGGTGGCTCCATGGCCATGGTGTTCAGTAGCACTAAGCTCTACTCTGAAAATCAAGGCATCTAAGAAAGTGCAGGGCTTTTCTCTGAATTTATTTTGTAAATGGGTATGTACAAGTTTAATTATTTTGCACCTTGAGGTAAATCAGTACATAGCAATTACTACTGCTCATATACACCTATTTAAGGCAGCATTTAAAAATCAATATATATATAGTAAATTATCTCTCTTGCTGTCTTGCAATGAGTGTTATTCATGATTGTTATTTTCAAAAAATAGCACAAGAAACATAACCATCTGAAGGAAGCAGTTAATTCCCTCTGCTCTTCAGAGGAGTAGTCGCATCAGATCAGTAAGTCAAGTAGTCAAAAGAAAGAAGTCATTAGTAACCAAAACCACAGTGAAACATCTTAGATGCAAAGTATTTTGTATGTCATGTTTTGTTTTGTTTTTTTTTTCCTGGCACTGGATAATACATACATACATATATATATAATTAAATAAATCACAGGAAAATTATGATACCAGGTAGTTTTTAGTTTAAATTTTAAAATCACTTCCTGTAAAATATGTTAACCCTTTGATGTCCAGACACAAGGAAACGATATGAGGAAATTCTCTTGTTTGGGCACATCAGGGGGGTTATAATTAGCAGCAAATGGGAACTTTGGAAATCATTACACTGCTGAGTGATGAGAAATCACTTCAGTGGAGGTTACCAATGACCATAAGCACCATGGCAACACTCCCCATCATAGGTTAAAGGAGTCCAACAGAACTCCAGATAGTACCAGATGGTACCAACTACTATTTTAACTAGAATTGAACTATGCGATCTCAGATGAGTGAATTACACTAATTGGTACATAATTTAGAATGAACTAAAACTACGTCAAACTTGCCAGGAATATTTGCTTTGGGCAATTCTATTCATTTGATCAATTTCTTCATACTTCTGTACTTTAGTTTGTAATGACTAAGGGACATTAGAATTTCCTTAACACGTTTGCTCTTTCATGTGTCCCCTTCACCTTCAGCATTCCTGGGGCTTCTCACTATTTCTGTGTATTATCCATCCTCTTGTTATATCACTTTTGTCCCACAGGCTGAAACAACATTTATTTACTCTGTGGGGAGCTAAGAGTATATAAAAGATGACAATTTGCTACACATTTAAAAGACAGCTCAGAAATACTGGAACCCCAATGCTATCACAGACAAGGAACAATGTCATCAACCTGAGCTGCACAGAAAATATCCAACTTCCTTTTAAAATGTAAATATGGCAGTGCTTTATATCAAAGATATGTTTGTCACTGATTTCAGAATGCAAGTGAGCACCAAATATCTACAACAGGAACAATTTACTCTATATTTGTTATTGTCTCAAATATTATATAATATTTAAGTATCAGAATAAATAAAATATTTTAAAAGGAAATTGTGTATAAAACCTATTAAAATACATTGCATACAATAGAGTAACAAAGAAAATGAAAGGTAATTCTTATAAAGGAACACTGATCACAAGCCCATTTAAAAGTGTGCTGACCCTTTTTATTACTGCTTACAACAGGGAGATATCTGAACCTGGAGCACACGAGATCACTTTAAGTAAAAGAGAGCAAAGACCAAGAACAGTGGGACTCTGGGTTTCTAGAAAAGAATAAGCATTGGAAAAGTCTTGCTACCAAGGTAACAAAAGTTAACTATTGCAAATGGGCACTTTATAGTTTCTAAAACTCAAAACATTACGAATGGTGTGGGTGTTAAATTAGAAGTCACATATAATTTGTTTTTTACTTGTCCATCAGAATGGAAGCCCAGATAATTTTTAAAATTTAAAAATCACTCCTAAGACATAAAGTTCCTACCTAGAAAATCTCCAGTAATCTATAATCACATCTGTATTCATCACCTGTGAAGTATGATGGAGAGCTACATGAAGGAAGCCCAAAGAGAAACCAGGACATGTCATTTTCCCACAACATGGGCAGACTCCTTATTTTACCTATAAAACACTACCAAAAGGGAAACAATAATCTTTCAAAATTATAAATATATAGACTAAGTATGTAACTCTTAAGGTTGATATGATTGCCACTAACAAAGAGATTTCAGAAAAGCAGATTGAATACAGTTTTCCACATCTTTCTATTACATAACAGAAAGGCTTTACCCCCAAGAAAATAAATATCTGAAGAGTAAAAACCATGTACCTCGTTTCTAAGAGACCATTTCATTAAAACAGTCTCCATGGTGCTCACAACAGTCAGATGCTACTTGAAAGAGCCCCATAGTCACACATAAACAGCGTGACATTCAGTACTATTATACACAATGGCACGGCACATGTGCATTTTATGTGTGTGTGTGTGTGTGTGTGTATACAGACAGGCGTATATCTCTATATATTCCTTTTGGTTTGACTTTACAATGAAGTCTCAGCATCCATGTATTTTTTTGATGGTTCATCTTCGAAATTTATTGTCACACTCACAGGCTTTTCAGGGCTGTTTAAAACAAACAATGAGGAAAAAATTATCTTTAAAAGAATCAACCATAAATTCTCAAATGGTCAACTAATATCTACAATATACCTATGAGCTGCTTGCTAACGCCAGCCTACAACTTGCTATTACCATCTGGCTGTTTTTGTTTCTTCTGTAGTCTCATATATGAATATCATGTACTATGATCATATTCATCCCTCTCACTCTCTTGGAACCCTTTCCTGTTCCCATCACATCACTTTTTTATCATGAGTAAAGCCAGGATGTTGTCTTTACTCAATGTGATTTTGAGTAGATGGCCAACCCACATGACAAGCTAAGTATAAAAGATATGCACTAATATTACTACATAGCCTTTATTTTCACCACAACACTATTAGCAATCTGAGTCAAGAGTGCTGGCAGAATGTGAATAGGAACTCAGGGTGAAGTTCAAAGAACTGTAAAATCCTAGAGGCTAAAGACAGAAACTGAAAGAAGGAAGAGTGAAGCTTAGAATTAGAACTTTAAGAAACAAAGATCAAAAATATATGATGAAGAGTTGGGCATGGTGGCACACACCTTTAATCCCAGCATTTGGGAAGCAGAGGCAGGTGGATCTCTGTGAGTTCCAGGACAGTCAGGGCTACAGAGTGAGTTCTAGAAGAACCAGGGCTACATTGTGAGACCCTATGTCAAATAATCAAAAGAAAAGAAAGAAAGATGAAGATTAGGTAGAAATAGGTTTTATAAAAGGAGAGAAAAAGTAAACACTTATCACAAGGTAGAACTCAGCCAAGAGAAAGCACAATTATTCTATTACTATATATTTATTCATTTATTTATTTATGCCAGGGTTTTGCTATGTAACCTGAGAGCACAATCTTTCTTTCTTTCTCCCTCTATCTCTAACAATACCAAAAGAAAGTACAATTTATTTATATTTAGGCCAGGGTCTTGCTATGTAACCCAAGCTGGCATGGAGCTTACTACATGGACTACATCAAGTCTCAAACTTAGGTCTCTCCTCCTGCCTTTGCCTCTAAGGAATGGAATTATAGGAGCCACTATCCTGGTAGCATTAATTTAATTCTTAGTAATTATCTTTCTTTATATATTTTTCTTTTAATTTGAATATAATTATCCTTAATTGAACTTTTAATTATGAATATATAATTTGTGAATATAACTATATTCACAAAAATATATATGCACTACTTTTCAGAATTTATTTTTATTATAAAATGGTAAAAATATTTTTCTGAAATATGAAATTGTAAATTTAAAAATTGTAAAAGATAATCATGAGGAAAAAACAATCACAACCTGCATTAGAACACGATATAGGTAGAAAAGATTGAAGGAAATGGGGAGAGGACAGGCTTTGTCCAGCAAGGAAAATATATTTAGATACATTAGGTAAATTAATATGAGTGAAAACTGGCAATAGTTACAAAGGCATAAATAGTTATAACTACCTCGTGTTAGGTCTGGTTACTTTGGCATTCTCAGTATTCATGGAAAGTGCCTTCCACTGGGCAGTTTTGGCCATTTCATCTGATATATTAACAACTGAAGGGTCAATACTGAAGAACAAATACACTTTGTGGTTAGTATCGAGTACTTGCAAAAGCATTAATGCTGTCATTTTTATAAGCATCATATAACTTATTGTTTTCATCAATTTAAAAATTGAGAAAACATTTGGCATGCACTTAAACTACAATCTAACAAAGTATTATAAACTTAGAATTCTGCTATCAAGTATTCACAGAGAACTCCAAGTTCCTTTACAATCAAAACTAAGAGGACTGATTATGTTAGCAAAATCCACTTCAGTTTGGATTTAGATGGTTCTTCACCAGTATTCCAGCCATGACACCTTCTGATCATCTAAGCTCTATCATTGAGATAAAACAAAAACCAGTTACTGTGTCTAAAAGCCTAAATATAGAGATTTAGTCAAAACTCTTAGAATTCACACTCTCACATTAAGTAAAACCACAGCATATAGTAACAACAACAACAACGAGAAAAAAAGCCCTTTGTTTTTCTTTTGCAAATCATTTTTTTTTTAATGCTGGAAAACAAACAACTGAAGTTCTGAACTTAGCAAAGATGGCACACAAAAAAATGACTCCACCAATTTTTAGCTAGATAGTCTCATAGTTTTAGTGTCAAAGTGTTATTTCATCAGATGTACCAAAACAAAGAATAGTAATGCTATTTACTATAAAAGTCAAATGTAACATTTCTACATTTCTATGAAATACTCAAAATGACTTCAGACCCCCCAATCCAATGATTATATCCATAAATAACGTGGGCTTAATGTTATTGATCACAAGTAATATGAACATTCCATAGATAAAACTGCAATACACTTATTAGCCCTTCCCCTTCTTAACCAAAAGAAAAACAATTCATGCAAACAAGCTACAAACATGAATGTCACACTGAATTACATGAGTGAGATGGGCAATGCAAGCATTTAGTCACAGCCACCAGGAGGCAGAGGCTGAAGCAGTAGACCACAGTAAGTCTGAGGGCAGTTGCTAACTCAGTAAGATCCCATTTCAGAATAAACAACAGAAAGTGTGTGGCATGCTGGCTAGTTTACAACAACGTCACAAAGCTAGAGTCCTTTAAGAGGAGGAAACCTCAATAGAGGCACCACCTCCATAAAATCGGCATTTTCTTAATTAGCGATGGATGGGAAAAAAACCCAACCTACTGTGGTATCTGCTATTCCTGGGATGGTGGTCTCAGGCACTCTAAGAAAGAATACTGAATAATCTATGAGGAGAACAAGCCAATAAGCCAAAATCCTCCACGGCCTCTACATCGGCTCCTGCCTTCAGCTTCCTGCCCTGCTTGAGTTTCTGCACTGACAGCCTTGAACACTGATATGGAAAAGTAAGCAAAATAAATCCTTCCCTCTCCAAGTTGCTTTTGGTCATCATGTTTGATCATAGCAATAATAACCCTAGCAAAAAAAAGCTGGGGAAGTAGCTCAGTGGGAGAGAGCTTGCCACGCATACACAGAATCCTAGGTTCAATACCAGATACTACAAAAAGAAGAAATTAGATCACATTAAAATAACAGTCTAATAGCAGCTATGTTATAAGTGACTGATACCAGGTGCTTAAAAAGTATTCCACCTGTGCTCATTCTTTAAATCATATTTAAGTTAAGACTGCAGCTGGGCATGGGGGCACACACCTTTAATCCTAGCACTCTGCAGGTAGAGGCAGATACATCTCTGTGAATTGGAGGCCAAACTGGTCTACACAGTGAGCTCCAGGCCAACCAGGGCTACATAGTGTAATTCTGTTCAAACAACCAAACACAGACCATTACGACTGCAGAGTAGTAAGACAAAGTGAATGCACTTGGAATGGTTACTAGACTTTCACCACATAAGCCAAATGTCCAAGTTGAAAACAGTAAGCCTTCTAACCTTCCACTGTGTTTACTTGAAGAAAACATTTATTCACCACTATTTCAAAGAAATATTACATGTTTATCTATATACCTGACACATGTTAAAAATATACTGTACAAAATAAAGTCATATCTTACCTATATTTTACGCTTTTAACTGGAATTTGTAGGAGACTTCCTCTTTCAAATGGAAGGTGCACAGTATCCCCATCATCCTGAAGCATCCGCTCAGCTTCCTTTAGAGCACAGACATGAAGACATTACTTTCTTCAGAATATCCCTAGGAGGATCTGTTACCAAGAATACCTTAAAGACTTGGAAAGCCGAACTGACATGTATCTGTCCAAACTGAAAACTACTTTTGGCAATATGAATACATAATTAACAGCATGAAATTAAAAGAACTACTTGTAGAAATTTATTTCCCAAGGTACATCATCTATTTCTGAAAATGAATAATTAATGCTATCTAAAAGGCAGTATCACCTAAGTCTGAAGACTTAGTTATACATAGCAAAGGAGAGAAAACTGACATCTCTTGTCTCATCACAGGGCACGGTAAAAGCTCATCTATATAAGTCACAGTTTCTCAGCCTCAGCAACACCGACAGAACATACATATTTGTGTAAGGGGACGATTTGAGGATATAGGACATTTTTCAAGTCCATATATAACTTGTGCTAGTAGCAGCCCCTCCAGGTGATAAAAATGTGACTCTGACACTGAATATATCCCTTGGAGAGGGCATCATCATGGGTTGAAAACCACCTGAACATTTAAAAAAAAAAAAAAGACTAAAATTATGACCCATTAATAATGGAGGAAAACACAAAGAAGCATAAGAGTACTCAATCTCATCTCATCTCCCTATTAACAGAAATCCCACCATTTACAATTGACAATGCACCCAGATTTAAAACTGCTACACTAATTTCCCAGCATTCTTTGCAACTCAGTGGGAGACCTTACACAAGCAACTTACTGAATGACAGTTTTAGAAAGAATCCTGAAAAGAGAATAATGTTCATTTTGCCTTCTGTGTTCTCTTCCCCTTGCTTCTGTTCTAGCGTGAGAGCTGGGGTTTATCAGCTATTCTTATCCAGAAGGTGAATCTGAAAATGGAGACTGTATGCTTGACACAGAGAATAGCAACCTAGAATCCCTGATGATTCTACAGAATCATGACACTAGCTCACTTACTTCCGAGAGTTCTTCCATATGAGAAAAAGCAGATTCTTGGACTTTTAAAACACACTTTCACTGTTGTCCTTTAAATTTATATGCTTCTGGACCAACTAATACAAAAAGCAAGCAATCTGACCTGCTTATTTTATGTGTTTTGCAAATAAATAATATCCTACACAAAGAAAAACTACCAAAATCTTACGTTTATGCATGCATCATTAAAGAAAACAAACCCTTATTTTAAAATTAGAACCTCATTCAAATCCTAGTTATAATTCTAGTTGAGAAATATACCCTTTCCTATCTATATTTAAGTAAGACTATGACATTTAAAAATAAGTAGCCAGGTATGGTGGTGCACAAATGTATCCCAAGCACTCAGAGTAGGGAGAGCTGAAGCAGAATAGGCACAAGTTCTAGGCTAGCCTTAGCTACATAGTGAGGCCCACCTCAAAAACAAAACAAACAAAAACTGAATCTCTCTCACCTGATTTTCAAACAAAGTTCTGAATAGGAATTATGCCAGCTAGTTTTATGTCAACTTGACACAAGTTAGAGTCATCAGAGAAGGGGGCCCCAAATGAGAAAATGCCTCCATAAAAGTCCAGTTGTAGGCAATTCTGTAAGGCATTTTCTTAATTAGTTATTGATGGAGAAAGGCCCAGCCCACTGTGGGTGGTGCCACCCCTGAGCACGTGGTCCTGGGTTCTGTAAGAAAGCAGACTGAGCAAGCCATGGAGATCAAGCCAGTTAAGCAGCACCTCTCCATGACCTCTGCATCAGTTCCTGCCCGATGTGAGTTAGTGCCCTTGCTGCTTTTGATAATGAACTGTGAATGAAATAAACTCTTTCCTCCCCAAGTTGCTTTTGGTCATGGTGTTTCATCACAGCAACAGTAACTAAGACAGGAATATTTAGGCAAGTACTATGACCAACAAGACCATATTCAGTTTCTACTTCCTATTCAGTAAAAAGCAGAACTGTAGTTAAACAAACATCAAACCCAGAATAAAGTATTTCTTTTTAAATATCACTGTACAGATCAACTAATGGTGGTACGTAATACTGAATATGAGAACTAAAATCCAGGCTGGAGAGAAACCTCAGCAGGAAAAGGTACCTACTGTACAGGCTTGGCAATCTGACTTGACCCTAGAACCTACCTAAAAGTCAACAAGACAAACTCCTGAAAATTGTGCTCTCATCTCCAAGTGTGCACTGCGGCACACAGACCTCTATCTACACACCCTGAGCATGAACACACACACAAAACAATAAATAAATGCATTTTTAAGTTAGGGATGGTGGAGTGCCTTAGTTCTAGCTACTCTGAAGGCTGGGGTGGGAGGATTGTATTTTTCAGCTCACAGAATATGCATTTCCCCCCTTGTTTTGGGTTTTTCCAGTCAGGGCTTCTCTGTGTAACAGGCCTGACTGCTATGGATCTCACTCTATAGACCAGGCTGGCCTAGAACACACAGAGATCCACCTACCTCTGCCTTCTGGGTGCTGGGATTAAAGGGGTGTACCACCATCACCCAGCCAGAATATCCAATTTTAAAAAAGTATTCTTGTGTTAAACAGGGTCAAGATGGGGAAATGGGTGAGATGCAGTATTTAAGGAACATTACCTCCCTCATCTAGTAAAACAGAATACTTAGCAGTACTTGTGCTTCATAACATTCCATGAGGATTAAACTACAGCTCTGACAACAGTATCTGCTAAGTGGTGCAAAGCATTAAACAAAGGAATGTCTTTTTACCTCTTTCTCTTTTTTCTTTTTGTCATCTTCTTTCTTTTTCTTACTTTCTGGCATGAGATCATCAAGCCAACTGAGTTCTCTCTTTGTGAAACACAGATCCATGAGCTTACGCACAAAGACTAGGGCAAGAACCTGATGATGGGAGAGACAGAAACATACTACATACATCGAAAAAGAAAAGTAAATGCTTGCTAAAGTCTATACATAATAGGAAATGCTACATTCACTTTGTTTAAAAATTAGTTAACACTTACTAGATCAAAAGAGTTATTTATTTGTATCTTCTAACTGTGTACTCAAAACAAAAACAACATATAGGAATAAAATAAAAAAAGCCATTTTACTTCCTCTCAATAAAGATTTTATAGTATGTAAGTACCCATCATAAAACAGCTCTGCAACTCTTAGATAATGCACTGGAACACCTGATCTCAGGTCTGAGCTTTGGTTTTCCATGAGTTGAGAGGAAAGGGTGTATTTGAACTTGCTATCCTATGACAGCTGTTGTGAATGTGCATGTTTACAGAGGCCAAATGGCTTTCCATTACTGTTGCTTGCTATATTTTATCTTTTACTTGTTTTCCCCTCATTTGAAAAGTAACTGTTAACTTTTTAGTGGACTCTTTACTTTAGTAGAAACCTTCCATCTACTTTGTGTGTTACAAATACTTCCTCCTGGTTCACAACTCTAAAACTCTCCTCTGTTTAAAATGTCTCCCATCACATAAAAACACTTCACAAGACATAAAAACTTACCTTTACCTGTAAGTTTTCCCATCTTCTTTAAAAGGTCTTTTTAACCATAGGGATGGATGGAGATACACAGATACACACACACACACACACACACACACACACGCCATGTGCAAACAGAGTCACAGGAAGAACATGCTGGGATAATTCAGATTGTAGCTATGCAGCTACAGGACAAACACAACAAGCAGCTAGGAAGAGGGACTCCTTGCAGGTTTAAGAAAGTAATCCTGTGCCTTAACCTGATTTCACACTTTTAGTCTCCAGAATTGTATAGTCTACTATACAATTGTTATTTTCCATGATTAACACGACTATTGAGGTAGATACTATCTACTACTTCTGATATGTTCTTATCCAGATATTCAAATACAACTGTTACCAACTGTAGTAAGGTCTTCATTCTTTTTTCATTAGATTCTGACTAAAAGGTTGAAATGTATATAATGATAAATATGCTAATAATTCCTTTTGATGCTAAAGTATCGTTATCTGCTTTATTATGGTATAGAGTGCTAAGAAATAATGCTGAGCATATACACTAGCATTTTAAGCTGATTGTATTTAATCATAAGAAAACACCATAGACCTTTCACAACTTCATTAGATTTTTTGGTGCTGAGATCTAACTAGTGTTTCCTGAGAAAAACATATCTTTTTCTTGGCTTTAGATCACTGTCTGGTCTTTAAATGTTCATGAACCTGTGCCTACCATTCTCAGCTACTTAACCCTCTTGCTTGAGCTACCTGTAAAAATTCATACACAGTATGGTAAGAATCTACTTCCTATAAATCAGGAAGTGACAACTAGGTGGTCCTAGTTCAAACCTGGGCCACCAGCCATTTTTGTAAAGCTCATAAACTAAAAATGGTTTTTATAGACAACTTTTGGAAGAGTTCTAAGAATAAGGTTCATTTGTTTTTTTCCTTCTTTTTTTTTTTTTCAGTGCTAAGAATCAAACTTAGTCTTTACATATTCTAGGCAACACTACTACTGAGTCACACCCCCTAACCTTAGTAATGAATGCAGTATTGACCTTGAACCTGAACTGAGTGAAATGTTCCCTCAATAAAAGAGAATGCCATTCTTTTCATTAGTAGTCCTGCATTAAAAAAAAAAAGTACTATTTCTTTAATTTTACCACTAAGAAATTATAAAAATGCATTTCTTTCTTGTATTATTCAAGTACCTACAGAATATTCTCCTGACCTACAAAGCCTTAAATATTTACTATCTGGCCCTTTACAGTAAAATACTTATTGGCCCTTCTGTTCTAGATGTCCAATGAACTTAAGTCCATTAGAATCTTTTGTGCATCTGTGGCTAAATTCTTTCCTTCTTAAGCTTACATAAATACTTTATTCTCTCATTTCTTTCTATCCCTGACTTGGGAGAGATGGGTCCATGACTGATTTTTGCTGCATTTATTTTGTTTTCTTTGATAATAAAGCCCACATGTGGTGCACATCTTCCTTTGAGTATACAACCCCAGCTGTGCTCAAAGCTTTAGAAACAGATCATTACAATGCTCTTTTCTTCTTTAACTTGACATTTTACATAGGATTTAATTTCCAAATCTATAACGTTACTTTAAAAGCTTCATTTCACATGTGATTTAACTGTAATCAGGAAGTACTGCTCGGCTAGTCCTAACAGTTGAGTTTGAATCTCTTAACATTTTCTGGAGCTAAGTCAATAATTATATTTTATATAGTACCCAGAAAAAGACAAGAACTATCTATTTGCATAATTTTTATGTAAGAAAAGAATGACGATTTAATGAATTATATGGATTGTGTCCTATTAAAATCCTCTATGGATTTCATACATTTTAAACTTCTAGATCTCTAAGTTTCTAGAAAAGACACATTGTAGCATCCCATTTCAAAGCCTAGATGTTTCAGAGTTGCTTTGCTTTATGTATCTGTCTTTCACATTTGTTCTATGGATGTCCTAAGTTCTGGAGTTACATAGCATTACAAAATAGAGCCCTATAGACCAAGGACTAAAATATTAAAAATAAAAAACTCTTGAGAATACCAGAAGAATACCCAGAATGCAAAGTATTAGTTATAGCTAGAAACAGTTCATCTACATTTTTCAATACTTAAAATATTTAAAGGCGGTTATTTCTTTCCTTAAAGTCAATTATAAATTTTTTAAATGTTACCATGAAAATGACAATTACATTATGATTTAGTAACAAAATAAATCCGAAAATTTACCATCATGGGAAAAACTACTGCAGCAGCAGAAGCTTTGATTACCCACAGCAGGACGAGGCAGGTCAGCTGGACAACAGTGAACACGTGCACCTTCCACAGGGGTACATAGCGGAGATAGATCAGGTCCGGCTGGTGCTTGGCAGGCATTCCAAATAGCTTGATACGGTCAAAAAACTACACATGTAATGAAGGGAAAGAAAAGATTTATCAACAAAAACCATTTTTGCTATTTAAGAAATTTTAACTTTTGGGGTTTTGTGTATGTGTTAAAGAAAACTCTAAGTTCTTTGGTATGTTCTTATAATACAGACGAATGTTTTGGGAAAGAATCCCTGAAACGAAAGAGAAAGGGGGAAAAAAAAGATCAAGGCAGCCAGGGCTGGTACTATACACCTGTAATCCTACCACATAGAAGACTGAGGCAGGAGACTACCGTTCAAGCCAGCCTAGGGCTAGCCGTGTCTCAAAAGAGCAAAACGAAATGGACAAAACATTTTACTGTGTATGGTCAAATTCCAAATATACTGAATTTCTTTGGGCTGTTTCCAATACACACAAATACTAACAGTCTTCTGAGGTTTCTCCAAGCTTAACACCACTAAGGGTATGAAGAGAAATCACCAACTCATTCACTGGATACTTCTGAACTTGATTTCCTTATTTATAAACTACAAGTAAAATCAACCTATCCACCTCACAAAACGGTTATAAAAATCAAGTGAGTGTGATAGTATCATTTCTTCACCATGGGAGACATGATTTTTAAAAAAAATGTTGGCTTCAGAACGTGCTGCACGCTACCTGTACACTAGAGTGACTGTGGATGGCATTGTTTTTGTGAGCCATGGGGCTCACTGTGCTAATCTAAACATTTCTACTCATGCCTGTACCAACCTGACCACATTTTAGCAGACTGCTTGCACAAGGCACAGGAAGCGCCGGCTCTGGCTTCCTTACCACACAAGCTCCACTGAGCCCCACTGTCTCAGCATCTGGATACAGAGCAGGAGCTCCTCCTTCCCTCCATCAGTCAGCATTTCAGAACGACAGAAAACAGCCAGTGTGCTAGGTAGGCCTCACTCTGACACACAATTTTGTATACCCTTTCTTTCTCAGAGTGGAAAGTGTTCTCCACTGGAGAGAAAGAAAGGCCTTTCCATTTTGACCCTTTGATCCTCCTTTCACTATACTAGTCTTCCTTGAACAGGTATGTGACTTTTCATTGGGTTTAAGTCAAACCAGGTGAATTAATCATCTCATTCTTTGGAGTAAAAACACACAGTGAGCAATAATCACTCAGTAAATGTGGATTTGACATAACCAGACAGAAAATAATCACAAGTACAACTTCTGTAACTTTTAAATAGTGCCATTATTAAATACTTGCCTGAATTCCTTTCAGTGATGAAACTCCCATATAAAGGAAAACACCATACAGAACTGGCATTGGAATAAACTGTAAATAAAATTACTACAATTAGAACTCATTGTACTGAAATAATTTTAATAATAATAATAAGTATACAGAAACACTGATGAGTAACTATGATGACAGAATTGAAAGGTCTTTTGTGATAAGGATTAGACCAACATTCCTACAGGAAAGAAGAAAACAGGTATATTGTTTATACATTTGAGAGTCAGTTGACCTATAGACTGTTCATAAAGAGTGAACTCAGGCATGAGGAGCAAGGGCCCTTCAGTCGACAGCTTAGTTTAAACCTAGTTAATTTTTGAAACAAATAGCTTTTGGTGCTTCAGCTTCTGTATCAGTTTGCTGTGGGACTACATTTCTTTAAATACAACATTCCACAAAGTAGCTGATACACCATCAGTCACCAAAGTACTAAGTTACTGCTGTCCAGCACCAATGCAGCAGAACGGCATTAACTAATGAAGTCCTGAGAACTTGGAAGGATGGAGATGACAAACCACCCTCCTGGCAGGCCTTTTGTCAGAACTCCTGGCTGTGTGTGTAAAATTCAAAGATCCTTTAAGTAGCTATTATCAATTTAAAACAACAGCAATAATATCAATAACCATGATAAGCTGGCATAAAGAACACTATCTGTGTAGAAGTACACATGTCTGTGTGGATGTGGATGTGAGCTTTGTGATGCCTTCCTCACTATGTTTTTTTTTTTTTTTAAAGACAGGGTCCTTTACCAAATAATCTAGAGCTCACCAATTAGGAAAACCTAGCTGGCCAATAAGCTCAGAAGATATACATGTCTCCATGTGCAGGGTGATGGGATGACAGGCTCCTTACCCATGGGTGCTAGGGATCTGAACCCAGATTTACACCTGTACAATAAGCACTTTACTACCAACTGAGCCACGCCCAGGAACACACTTCTATGAAAGACTACAATTTCTATAACAAAGTGAAATTCAAGACTAGCACTGCTTTACATTTCTGTAAATTTCTTTAGTGGTTGCTTAACAAGAGACAAGGAATCTTCGATTTGCAACTGTATTTAGTTTACAGCAATATGTACACTATCCTCTTTTATATGACATACATGAAAAAACCCTGCCTTTTGCAGTATGTAGCCTTTGGAATGGAAGGCCCCAGTGGAATCCTGATAGGATGCCAGGGACTCCAAAAAGTCCTTGAAGTAGACCTTGAAAATTTCTGTTCTAGGAAAAAAAGAGTCAATATAAACATAAGTGTAAAAAATATAATTATAACAATATTCAAGATTACAATAACTACCAGAATAACTTAACTTACTTACTTTCCTTCCTTCCTGACCTGTGTGTATGCACATGCATGCAGGTGCATGTGCACACAAACACTCGTGTCTCAATATACACGTGGAGGTCAAAGACACGACCATGTGGTTCTGTCTAACGTGGCATCGGCAGTGCTCTTGCTAACTGACCCACCTTCCAGTCCTTTAACTTTGGTGCAGGGACTCATACTGAGCTCAGTCTGACTGGAGATCACTATGTAGTCCAGGCTATCCTCTAACTTACAACAATTAGCCCCACTCCCATCTAACCCCTGTCCAAAAGCTAGGACTACAGACCACCACACTCAAATACTGCCAGAGGAAGTTACACAATCAAGTTGAGGGTCAACAAGCAGCTCCTCAGTAAGTCAGAGCTCTTGCTATGCAAGCCAGACAACCTATGTGTGGTCTCTGGAGACCCATCACAGAACAACAGAAACTGAAGAAAGTTGTTCTCTGACCTTCAAGCTCTCACTACTGCACATGTGCACCTGTATGTACACAAGTGTACACACACACACACACACACACACACACAATCACAAAGTTGAAAAGAACTGTCTCTGAAGAGTTGCTTTTGAAAAGTGAAAAACCAATATGGAGACTAAGTTTAATTTTAGAGTTCTCTGCATGTTCGAGTTGAGTTTTTCTAGTTATGTGCAGCGTTTAATTCATTAGAAATTTAGAAACTATAAGACTTAAGGGGCAACTTCCAAAGAGCTTTAATGGGCCCTCACCCCCAGAAGACTATATAAAATACCTCTCTTGTCTCCAAGTTCCTTTGAAATACACTCAGTACCTATTGATTTCATCGACAGACTGTGGAGTCCCTGTAGGAAGACAATACTACACCCTATTTATTGTTATCTCCTGGTCTAAAGGCACTGCAAACAGTCCAGACACTTGGTACTTAAACGGGCTAGTAAAAAGTCCATGAAACAAGCCCAAGGAATTCCAACAATGAAGAATATCCTTTTAAAGCTAATACACATAAGTCTCTTCTAGTTTATAGTGGTGTCAGCTTTCATTCAGCCATTTTCTTTACAACAAAAATAATCAAAACAGCAAAGACAAATATGGAGCTGGGTTTTACACGGTTAAAAAAAAAGGTTTCAAATTAGATACTATGCTACATAGTTACTTTTTAATGACTATATTCTGTAGAGTGTATATCTGTAAAATATGGATATGAGAAAAATGTGTTTAACAGAATTTCTTATGTGCTTCATTGATAATCTTGTTTTTATTTATTTTTTAGTGTTTATTTACCATTTTTATTTATTAAGAAAAAACTTATTAAATTCACTAACAGCACTTTAAAGAAACCAAAGAATTTTTCTTCTATTGTTTCCAATTACTTCCTGTGCTATGTTCTAACTACATGTTGATTAACTTGTTTCAACTGCAGGCTGTAACTGATGGATCTACCGGCTATAATTCATTAATCTACATGCTTATCATATGAAAAACACTGCCAAATTGTATTTCTAAACTTGAATGGATTTTAAATTACAGGGGGAAGAGGATTTTATATATTGCACACATATTTCAATGTTTCATTTCTATATAATTAAATACAAATGTTAAGTGAGATTTTAGAATGCTACCACAAAGGATTTTACCTTTAGTACTGAAGTCATGAACACAGAGAGGCCCATCAGGATAAAAATCATCAGCCCTGTAACTCGTTGTTCTCGAATCCCCAGAAACTTGGGCTGTTCCCCTGGAGCAGAACATTCAGACTCTACTTTTAAGCTGTTAACATGACTTATAGACAATACTGTCGCAGCCACAAACCAAGGCAGGCCCATGATAGAGCAGACTCCCAACATGACACCAACCATGAGCAAGTCAAGGTGATAGCCAGCTCCTTTCTGAAGAAGGAAAAGAACACTAGTAAATCCAGATTGTTCCTTTATATTAAAATTCCAAATTAATTATAAAGAAGGAAGAAACTAATTTTTATCTTGTATTTTTAAATGTTCTTGTTATTAAAGAAAATGCCCCAAGCCCTTAAAGAAGTCTGAGAATTACCTTGAGTTTGTGTTCTTTTCTGTTGATGATTACAGCTGTAATCTGTTGATCCATAAAGATGAGAATGGTACAAAGGAGAGCTGGAACAGCTGCAATTAGCAATGTCCACCAAGGGTTATCTCCCAAAGGGCTTATGATCCAGCCCCTACTTGGATCAGTAGGCTATTAAAGTTTAAACATAAAGAGAAAAGTTTCATTCCTCGATTGTCCTAAAATTCCACCGCACATAATGGATGCACTCCATCAAATGCCAAGGGACAGAGGAAAAGGCTGAGTTAGGACGTGGAGTGAACTGTTTGCAGACAAAGCCCAGAAACTTCATCCTGTGCACACGAGCATGCCTTTGTCATGCCCTTGTCATGGGACTTGCCCACTACAGCGGTAGCTAACCCTCTTCTTCAACTCAAGACCATCTTGTAACTTAACACACAAAGTAAGACCAAAGGGACATGTCCAGTTTGGACTTCGGAAACCCTAAAGCTTCCTTAACTCCTTGAAGTCCTGAGATGACTGTGCTGCTAAATAAGCTTTCTGGAACGGAAGCTACAAAACAAAAGCAGGGAAGAGAAAGACCACCACTCCAATTGTTTCAGCTGAGTCTCCAGGTCAGTAAATGGAGCTAAACTGTCCCCACCAAACCACTAGATGACTAGACATGTGAAGAGTGTGAGACCTACTGACCAGATCACATTCCACCTGGGCAAGCCCAACTGCCAAAGGATTATAAACAGAGGTTTACTGTTTAGAGACTGGTGGTTTGGGGGTAGGGTTTTTGTTTGTTTCAATTTATTTATTATGGAGAAAGAAGGTATTGCTAAGTCATGTCACTATGTAGTCCAGGCCAGCCTCAAATTCACAAGCATACTGCTTCAACATCCTCAGTTTCGGATTACAGGCAGGTACGACAGTGCCCATCCTAGAGACTGGGTTTTGATGAGGGTTGGCATGCAGACACAGGACAAGTAAAAAAGAATGACATTTTACCATGGACCTACATACACCATACATGGTGAAATAAATCTCCCTCGTATGAATTCTTAAAGTACCTTGGGTTAGAATCTTGAAACTAGTAGTCACAGCAAGGTTGGTACTGAGTCAGAACTGGCAAAAAACAACTAATGACAAAAATCTGGCACCTTATCAGATTCAAACACATTTCAACGATGTAACATGAAATTAATTTTTAGATCAAACACTGTAAACATGAATTAGAGAGTTTAGTACTCTGGAGGATAGCAAGTACTGAAATTTAAATTTATATTTGTCAATGCAAAGGAAAATTGAGGACTGCAGTTCACAAGAGCTCTTGTCTAATAAGTACAAGATCCTGGGTTCAAGTCGCTTCCTCACTAAGTAGTTTGGTATTTCCAGGAAAAAAAAATAGCCACTTGCTTCAATACTTACCTCAAACTTTTCAGGAACATGAAGTTTAGGAGACGGAATTCCTACAAAGTAGTCAATTGCAACCATTATTACTATTGTGAGAAATACAGCAAAGTCACTGATTGTTGATCGTACCTACAATAGAGAGATTACGTTAACATAAACATAGAATTACTTCCTGTACTTTGTAAATAATTCATGTCTTTCTCATAAAATATGTCCCCAATGCATGGAGGAGAATTTTAATAATAGTGTTACATATGTATACTTCCACTTAATCACCCAAACGTAAGAAAAAAGTCACAACTAACCTCCACATTCTCACAGTATTATCTTCCTTCTGTGTGCTCAGATATGCAATACATGTATAGTTTTGTTTTGGTTTTGGTTTTGAAGACAGGGTTTCTCTGTGTAAAAGTCCTGACTGTCCTAGAACTCACTCTGTAGACCAGGATGGCCTTGAACTCACAGAGATCTGTCTGTGTCTGCCTCCCAAGTGATGGGATTTAAGGAGTGCACCACCACCACCTAGATGATATATTTTTTACTAAAAGGAATTTCTTTTAAAATACTTAGCATAGAACATTAACTTTAAATAATACATTGTTGCTTTGAAATAAATGAAAGGAAATGAAAACTAACATACATATTACCAAAATTCAACTCAGTTACCTTGGTAGGAAAATAACGCTTGGTTTTAAACTGCTTGAGGAATGAAGACAGAAAGAACGTCGTGAAAAACAGGACGACACACCAGAAGAGCACATCGGGAACGTAGGGCCCATGAGGACCACAGGCTGATCCCACAAACATACCGTGGAAGGACTTACATTCCTGGAAGGGTGGTAGAGGGAAGAAGATGGAGATTTTTCAAGTATCCAATAAAGTACTCATGAACATGGTTGAATATAAGACGTCGATTTTATGCTCTACTCAGAAAGCTAATGCTAAGCTAACCACACATCATCAATTAGAGATTATGATATTCCTATCAAAATCACCACAATAGAGTATTTCACCAAGATTCCCCATTCTTTCAACTGCATGATCCCTTTAGAGAAAGGCTCACAATGAGTGCTAACTGTGAAAAGTTTCTTCTGCATCCCTGTAGGCCACAACTGCACTGTCTGGCAGGTGGTTTAAATATAAGCAGCAGACAGAAAATCACTACTAAGGTCTTTATAGACAGTGAATGGAGCATGGATAGAGCACTGCCTTATAAGACCACTGGAGCTGGGCATAGTGGCATGTAATCCTTATCTCTCTCGAGGTGAGGCCAAAGGACCAGGAATTCAAGGCTAGCCTCTGCTATTTATAATTAGATGGCAGCCTGAGATAAATGAGACTTTAGCACTCACATTCCCCTAGGAAAAAAAACAGGAAAATTTAAAGGTAACCAATTTAGCTCTGATTTGACACGTGGGATTAAAACATAGTCTTTTATAAGCAGCAAAGTGGTAATGAAAAGTTTAGTGAAAACACCACATCTGGTCTGGAGCTATAGCTATAGCTCAGCAGTAAAGCTCTTGCCTAGTATGTGTGAGGTCCTAGGTCTAGGGCAGTGGTTCTCAGGGGCCGCACATCATATCCTGCATATCAGATGTTAATATTATGGCTCATTAACAATAGCAACATTACAGTTATGAAGTAGCAATGAAATAATTTACGGTTGTGGTCACTACAACATGAGGAACTATATTAAAGGACCACAGCATCAGGGAGGTTGAGAAGCACTGGTCTGAGGCTTTAGACAACAGAGGCAACAGAGATGGCTCAGAGGTTAAGAGCACATTTGCTACTCTTGCAGAAGAACTGAGCTCAGTTTCTAGCACTCATGTTGGGTGCCCACAACTGCCTGAAACTCCAGCTCCAAGGGATCTGATACCTTCTTCTGGCCTTTGTGAGTAAGTGCACTCATGTATACACCCACACAGGTGTACATAAATTAAAAATGACAATTAGGACAGAAACAGAACAACATATTTTGAAAACAATCTACATATTCATAAAGACAGCTGGACATGAAAGCTCACATCTTGAATCCCAGAACAGGAGAGGATGAGATGGGAAGACTGCTGCAAACCCTAAGCCAATTATCAGCTACAGTGTGAAACCACCTCTAAAACAAAACAGGAAGAGAGGAAAGCCAGCTTCCCATGGGCCTCAAATAGTCCTCAATCCTACTATACTTACGGATACAGTGAGGTTTCCCCAGAAAATACTGTCTGCCGTCACATTCTTTCTCTTCCACAGTTCTATAGTTTCATTGCTAGGGTTAGATGGCTCTGCACATACACATCTAAGAAATCAGAACAAGATACATTTTTAAGAATCCTACATTTTATTTTTGTTTTTCTAAATCAATTGCACAAAGTTGTAGCTTTTAACATCTCAGCATTTCTTCCATGTAGCAAGCATGGGGAGTAGGAAGTAAAACAGGAAACAGAAGCAGGGAATCCAAAGTCTGAGGGCATCCAAAGTCTGAAGCCCTGGGATGTTTTATAGGGTATTCCATACCAGCTGGAGCTATGTAGCAAAACCTTGTCTTAAAAAAACAAAACAAAACAAAAAAACAATGTGGGGGGGGGGGGCGAAGGAGCTACTTCAGGAGCAGTGGAGAGAGGAGGAAAAAAGAGGGGGAGAAGAGAAAGTGAGTATGCATTAGAAACAAACAAACAGCCAAATGGAGTAATGTTTGTGTGACATCAGTACAACTAATGTAAATGTCAATGACACATTTACTTAATAACACTGGTTGGATATAATGTTTGGGAAGGATGAAAAGACACCACCATGTTTATAGTAAGACTGTTTACTACTAAAGCTTATTAACTGCTGTCTCTTGATACTCCAACAACACATAAACATTCCAAATAAAACCCACAGCACCACTGCCCTACTCATGCTTATTGTTTATTATCTTAAAACTCATTCTTAGCATGAGTGGTAGCACAGACTACAATCCCAGAACTCTGGTGGTAGAGGAAAGAGGAACAGGAATTCAAGGTCATCCTTTGCTAGTAAGGCAACCTAAACAGAAGAAAAGGAACTTTTTCCCCCTGTGGTGCTAGGAATGGAAGCCAGAGCCTTGGCATGATAGGCTATCATTGCCTACACTCTCAGCTTAAAGACTCACTCTTAAATAAAAGAGCTTTTCATGGGATGAAATAGGAGATGCTTAAGATCAGAGGTTCAGTCCATATCTAGAACTATTTCAACTACCAACTTGTAAATGTGAAAACATCATGCATTTAAAAGCAAAGAAGATACAAAGATGCTACAGATAACACTGGGCATCGAAGTGTCTAGTATTTTTAAGTAGCTCAGCATCACAGTCATTTCAGACCCCTTCCTGCTTTGTCCATCAAGCTAAGACTGCAAAAAAGGTAACCAGGTAATTAAAAACTGGATTGAGAAAAGAGAAGAGGATACGGGTCTGTGGTTTAGGGCCAAGAAAGATGGCCTATTTGTTTTTTGTTGTTTATTTTGGATTTGTTTGTCTCTTGTAGCCCAGCCCTCAATCAAATTTACTCAAGGCTGACCTTGAGCTCCTGATCTTCTTGACTTTACCTTCTAAGTGCTAGGTTTACTGGCATGAGCCACCACACCCAGATTGCCTTTTATGTTTTAAATGCTATACACTTATTTATTATGGGGAAACAGGGCAGGTCACAATTCTGTAGAGGTGAAAGGACAACTTTTAGGAGATTGAACTCAAGTGTAAGTATTGGCAGCAAGCACAGTACATCCACTAAACCATCTCTCTAGCATACTTTCTGTGCTCTAGGGATTATATTTTTCCTTATAGGTAAATGAAGTGGAGTACCACATTTGCGTCACACACAACTGCTAGAGAGCAAAGAGGACATCCTAGACATATCTGACTTTAACAGCACTTGACTTTTATTTTGTATTTCTGCAACTTTTCTTAAAATGTTTATTTTTATTTTATGCACTTTGATGTTTGGTATACATGGATATTTGTGTGAGGGTGTCAGATACCCTAGAACTGGAGTTACAGACAGTTATGATTTGCCATGTGGCTGCTGGGAATTGAACTGGGTCCTCTGGGAAAACAGCCAGTGCTCTTAACCACTGAGCCATCTCCACAACCCCAATGTCTAAAACTTTTTATAACCACTATACATGACTTTTCAAGTCTTTAAAGTTTAAAATTTTTATTTCCCACTCAATTGGAGAGAATTCATTCTGGCACTATACACCTAGTCAACAACTTTCAGCTAATGAGGTCATGGACCCTCAAGGTGATCCTGCCACTTTGCTAAACCAGTACAATTGCAAGCTACATTCTAAAAAACTGGTTTGTTTTTGTTTTGTTTGTTTGTTTTTTTGTTTTTCGAGTTAAGGTTTCTTCCGTGAAACAGTCCTGGCTATCCTGGGACTCACTCTGTAGACCAGGCTGGCCTCAAATTCAAGAGATCTGCCTACCTCTGCCTCCCAAGTGCTGTGATTAAAGATGTACCACTACCACTGCCCAGCCACAGTCCCCCTCACCAAAGAAGCTTCTTTTTGCAGCAGAGACCATTACAAAGAGTCATAATGGGTTAAAATGCAAAGAACAACTGACTGTGGAATACCCATCCCCAACTGATATATCTACAACAACCTGTACACCTAATATTACAAAAGAAGGAGTAGAAAGACTATAAAACTCAGAGGACCAGGACATCCTACCTTCCGTATAAGACAGCAAAGTTGTACCCATGAAATCTTAATAAACAGTTACTTAAACAGGACCTACACAATGACATTAGTAGACATTCCACTGGGGATGAAGAGCCACTGACTATCAATGGCTGCTGAGACAGGGAGAATCAGTCTTCTCCAGGGACAAGTACCCTGATACATTATCAAAGTGGTCAGCCTTAAGTACATACATATTCAAGCAATGGGGTCAGTAGTTTATATTTATATACACATAAGTATCTGTCTGTGTTGTATGATATTTGTACACCGTTTAAAGATATATTGCTGTGGTTGGTTTAATAAAGAGCTGAGTGGCCAATAGCTAGGCAAGAGATAGAGGTGGGACTTTCGGGAAGAGAGGGAGAAAGAGGAGCTGAATCTCGCATACTGCGGGAGAAGCTAGGAGACACTGACAGGAAACAGGAGGTACAAAATGGAAGAATGTAGATTAATATAAAAGGGTTAATTTAAGTTATGAGAGCCAGTTAGGAATAAACCTAAGCTATAGGCCAGGTTTTCATAATCAATAAAAGTCTCTGTATCATTATTTGTGAGCTGGCGGCCCAAAGAAAAATCCAACTACATGTCTGTATGTTTGTGTGTGTGTATGTATGTGTGTGTAACAATAATAGTTATAAAGATATGATTTTGAGAGGGGAAGGAACATGGAAAGAGTTTTAAGGGGAAAGGGTAGGGAAGAAATGATGTTAATACAGTACTCATGTATGAAATTCTCAAAACTAACAACAAAAAAAATTAATTGAGAAGGCAGAATTCAAGGCCAACCAGATCTACACAGCTAGTTCAAGATAAGCCAGGAATATATATTGAATTCTTGTCCTTTAAAAAAAAAAATCAAAGTAGGCCCGTCCCGGCTGGTCGAGAGACAGCCGGGACTGGCCTACTCTGGTGATGGGATGGCCAAACACCCTGATAGTTGTGCCATAAGCCCCATCCAAGGACTGAGGAATCTGGATGCAGACATCCACGGCTGGGCCTCTGGTGGAGCGCTGGGAGTCTAATTGGTGAGAAAGAGGAGGGTTTATGTGAGCAAGAATTGTTGAGACCAAGGTTGGATAAAGCGCGTGGACAGATGACCAAATGAATGGAAACACATGAACTATGAACCAAAGGCTGAGGGACCCCCAACTGGATCAGGCCCTCTGAATGGGTGAGGCAGTCGATTGGCTTGATCTGTTTTGGAGGCATCTAGGCAGTGGTACCAGGTCCTGGGCTCGTTGCATGAGTTGGCTGTTTGAAGCCTGGGACTTATGCAGGGACGCCTGGCTCAATCTGGGAGGAGGGGACTGGACCTGCCTGGACAGGATCTATCGGTTCGATCCCAGTCCTCAGGGGAGACCTTGATCTGGAGGAAGTGGGAATAGGGGATGTGCTGGGGGGAAGAGGAGGGGAGCGGGAGGGGAGAGAACGAGGGAATCTGTGGCTATTATGTGGAACTGAATAGTATTGTAAAATAAAAAAAAATAAAATGTAAAAAAAAAAATTCAATGGCCTATGTAGAACAAAAAAATCAGATGAATGGCTGGAGATGTTCAGTTATAGAGCTTTTCTATTGTGGTAGTTTGAATGTAATTGGCCCCCTTAAGTCCATAAGGAGTGACAATATTTGGAGGTGTAGCTTTGTTGGAGAAAGTATGGCTTTGTTGGAAGAAGTGTGTCACTGTGGGAGTGGGCTTTGTGGTCTCATATATGCTCAAGATATGCCCAGTAACACAGTTCACTTCCTGTTGCCTGCAGATCAAGATGTAGAACTCTCAGCTCCTTTTCCAGCACCATGTCTACCGGCATGCCACCATGCTCACCATGATGATAATAGAATAAACCTCTGAAACTATAAGCCACCCCAATTAAATGTTTTCCTTTATAAGAATTGCCATGGTCATGGTATCTCTCCACTGTAATAGAAACTCTAAGGTAGAAATTGGTACCAGGGACTGGGGTATTGCTGTGATAGGCCTGACCCTGTTTTTGTTTGGAGGAACTTGGACTTTGGGACACTGGGTTAGGAAAGTGGTGGAATGCTTTAAGTGCTGCCATACTAGTAGGAGCATGGAAGATGATGATGCTCAGGGTCACTTGAACTATGGGGCCTAACTCAAGAGGTTTCATAGGAGAAAATTTTAGTATGTTGCCTAGAGATCATTCTTGTGATATTTTGGTGAAGAATGTGGCTGCATTTTGCCCTTGTTTGAAAAGTCTGCCTGAGGCTAACATGAAGAGTTTTAGATTAATTCCATCAGCAGAGGAAATCTCAAAACAGCCTAGCACAGACTCTATTAGGTGGTTACTAGTGTTCATGCTTATAAAGATTTATAATGAAAAGGAGCAAGCTGAGAAAGGAAAAATACAAAATATACAATCTGAGGAGAAAAGGGACATCAGGAAGTGGAATAGAGTTAAATCCTGTGTTCAAGAAGATAAATAGATTAAGAAATGGAATAAAGGGAGTAGTGATCCTGAGGCAAGATTCCACCAGCTAAGCCTCCAACTTGTGAAATGGGATTAAAGAAAACCTCAGAGTTGGGAGTGGTGGTGCATGACTTTAATGCCAGCACTTCAGAAGCAGTGGCAGGGGGATCTTTGAGTTTGAGACCAGCCTGGTTTACAGATCAAAAACAAAATGATGGTGAAGATGTAGTTGAAGGAGAGGGCCATGTTTCAGCCCCAGCAAGCAGCAGAACTTGGCAGTTTTAGCCATGTGGTTCTGGCTTTAGAGTCAAGGATAGAAGAAAGGGTTTGTGGAATCTTCCTCTGTGACTAAAGAAAGCAGTTGAGGCCAGGTATGTATCAGGGATGTCCATTAATATAGGCCTAGAAAGGCCAGTGCTGAAGCAGTGAAGGAGAAACCTGGTTTGCCTTGGCAAACCCAAGATGTTGGCTATGCTAGAGCTGTGGGATATCTGTCAAGGAGAGCTACTAACAGGGAGTGGAACCAGCTCAAGGAAAAGAAGTGTGCTGTGGTCAACAAATATGAATGGAGTTGGAGATCTGAAGAGCATTTTGACATCAGACATGGAGATATAGAATGTGCCCAGCTGGTTTTTGGTTTTGCTTTCATCCAGCATTTCCTCACTATGCTCCCTTCTCTACATTTTGGAATGGTGATGTATATCCTGTGCCATTGTATGTTGTAAGTAAGTGATCTGCTTTTTGATTTGGATTTTATAGGGGATTAGAGTTAAGAGATTACATGAATCTCAGAAGAGATTTTGAACTTTAGACTTTTAAATGAGTTTGAGACTGTGATAGATTATGAGGACTTTTAAAGTTGGACTAAACCCATTTTGCATACTGTTACAAGCTTATGGGAGCAAGGGGGTGGAATGTGGTAATCTGAACATAACTGGTCCCATAAGTTCAGAGGGAGTGGCAATGTTAGGAGGTGTGGCTTTGTTGGAGTAGGCACGGCCTTATTGGAGGAAGTGTGTCAATGTGGGGGTGGGCTTTGAGGTCTCCTATTATACCCAATGACACAGTTCACTTCCATTGACTATGAATCAAGATATAGAACTTTCAGCTTCTTCTCCAGCACCATATCTACCTGCATGACACCATGTTTCTTGCCATGACAATAATGGAATAAACCTCTGAAACTGTAAGCTAGCCAATTAAATGTTCTCCTTTATAAGAGTTGCCATGGCCATGGTGCTTCTTTACAGCAATAGAAACCTTAAGACACCTACCATGCACAAAGCTCTGAGTTCCATCTCCAGTATAACAAAAACGTACTAATGAAATACCTTTCTTAACAAGAGTATACTATATGTAAGAATGAGAGGTACATTTGTTGAACATTCTATACTTTAAAAATGCAATTATATAAAATGCAAGGAATACATAAATACATAAAAAATACAAAACTTAAAAAATAAATAAAAATATATCCTACACCCGAGTGGTTAAAGAATACAGGAATATACATAAAACATAGATTGCCAATTGTGATGGTTAATCTCGACTGTCAACTCGACTGCATCTGGGATCAACTAAACACAAGCTGCTGGGCACTCCAGTGAGGGATTTTCTTGATCAGATTATTTGAAGCAGGAAGACCCATCCTAAATATGGGCAGTACCTTCTGGTGGTAGTTGAGATAAAGACACAAGAAAAAAATAAAGCTTTGTTTTCTGCCTGCTTGCCCTCACTCCACTGGCATCTATCCTGTCACTGAGGTGGTTCTTCACTGATATCAGAACCAATTTCTCTGGGAATCAAAAATACAAAGAGCAGCAACTCTGGTGGGATCCTCCAGGACTCCAGTGCCAGAGTGGGCCTGCTGAGAGTTAGAGTCTTGGTCAGGACAACTAATAGATTCTCAACCTCTCCAATGTAAGACAGCCACTGTTGGATTACCTGGAATACATCCTATAAGCCAAGCTAATAATCATCCTCTCCCCCTCACCCCATACACACATATTTTTTCACTCTATCAGCTCTGTTTCTTTAGAGAACCCTGACTGATACACTAGTAAGATTTAAATTTGCCAATCCAACTCAAACAGAAGACCACATACTTCAGTTACTTTAAGTTATTTCAGTTTCATGTATTAGTTTCATTTCCTATTGCTGTGATAAAATGCAACCCTGACAAATGCAGCATAGGGGAAGAAGGGTTCATTTGATCTCAGTCTGGGTCCATCAACTACAGGGATGTCATAGCGGCAGTAGCTTCAAGTAGCTAGTCACATTGCATCCATAGCCAAGAAGCAGAGAAGAACAAATTAATATATACATGCTAGTTCTCAGCTCGCTTCCAGGATCCCCTACCTAGAGAATGGTACTACCCATAGTGGGTGGGTCTTCCTGACTCAATTAATAAAATCTTCTACAGACAAGCTCATAAAGACAACCATATCTTGACAATCTCTCAATGAGATTCTTCTCCCAGGTAATTCTGGATTGTGTCAAGTTGATTACTTAAACCAATCATTATATCAGTAAACAAAAATGAATAAACTTCATCAATTATAATTCTACCCATGAATGCTTTGGCAAAATTTCATCTGAAACAAATGTCAACTGCGCTATGGCTTATATGGTAAATACTAGATACAGTGAATACTGTACTGCAAAAATTCCATTTTCTTTCTTTTTACTAAGTAGCCCAGGCAGACCTTTAATTTGTGATACTTTCTACTGCCTCAGTCTCCTGAGTGATGGAATTAAAAGTGTGTACTACCATGCCAAGCTCTTAGGAAAAAAAAATTCATTAGAAAAATATGCTCTGATATCTTAGAAAAAATATATTTTAACATAAGGAAGCAATAGAAGCACTTACGTGTAACTGGTCAGTTCATCCAAGTTGTTGTGCATATTAAATGCATATATTTTTCCTAAATGAAAGAGTTTCTCTAAGGCTTCATAGATGAATATGATACAAATGAGAGCCGCAAAAGCTTCTTCTGTGAACCGAGTAATGTAACACACAAGGCTGCTTGCATCAGTTGCAACCAATACAATGCACAAGAAAGAAGTCCACAGACCAATACTGGTTCTTAATGATAGATAGGAAAGGTGATAATCTCTGTTTAGAAATATAAATGGAGACATGATCACCACATACATATAGAATAGTATTTGCATCTAAAGTTTTTCATAACAAGCAGTAAGAACACAAGCAACATAGGATTCCTTTAAAAATAACAATTACCAAATGGCCAAAATAATGATTAGATGAAGCTCTGTGTTTTTCTGCTTCAACTGGAGACTTGGTTACTATATTAAAGATTTACAGTGAAAATATGCTAGGCAATAAAAGGATAAAGCCTTTGTATCTTACATTAGCAATCAGCTCTATCAAACAAATGACAGGTTAAAAGCAACTGACTGACTTTCTAAAGATGAAGAATCCATACATATCAGTAAGGTAAACAAACTCACTACCCCCAATATCTTGCCGCCACTACTCATTCTTCACCCACCACTATCCCTTAAAAAAAAAAATGGTTTCTTATTTTTAACTTCAAATAAGAGATACTTTAAGTCATTTCATTCCATACTAGTTAGTGGAGCATGCCAAATCAGAATTAGAACCAGCTTAGCCAATGAGCAGAAAATCAGAGCAAGAGAATTACAACAATCAAATAGTCAAATGACTACATTGTTTCAGGCTAAAATATTCAACTGCACATATAGAGAATGGTATTATTAATGCTGAATTTGAAGTCTATTAGCTACAGTATTCCCATGCCATGAATAGCCTAGCCATAGATACTAACTGCACTCTGATAGCTTTGAGCCCTTATCTCTTTACACAAGATTGCCTGGCAAAGCCAGCCTGGGCTTTCAAGATCTATTTCACTCTGTCCTATGTAAGATCTACATTTCCCCTAACAAATAGTTCATATAAACATCTTACTGGTTTAATTTTGGTAGCACTAAGGATTTTTATTACTCATCAAATGATTTGCTTATCAATACTCAAATTCATTAAATGAGCATTGATAGGCAATCTTATTTTTCCTTATTTCTACATTACTGAGAAGAAGTGGTAGCAGAAGCTTTGGCAGGACAACCACATAAAAATACCCAAAGATACTGAAAATACACACACTGCTAACAAAGCTAAGTGTAGTTCATAAACAGTACACTATAACATATAATTGACAGGTATACAAATACAAGGGATGCGAATTGCTACTTACCTACAGAATTTAAATAAAATTTTTTCAAACACTAGGACTGGACCTGTGCTCCCCAGTATTGTTAGAGGTTGCCCCGCAAACAATGAATAGGCAATCCCAGTTAATGATGCTCCAAAAAGAGACTCTATTGCACTCTGTTTAAGGAAAAAATGAATAAAAGCAACACATCAAAAAATTATCTCTAACCTACTACAGCATCTGGAAAACATATATACTTGCCAAGTAGGTACAAACGTATCAAGTACATCAGAAAAACTGCTTTGTTTCTGCATATTCAATTGAACTTTTGGCAATCATCTTCAATTTAATACTCAATATCCTAAGATACAAGGCACAAAGGGAAACACACGGGGCTTCAACTTCATCTGTGGTGTTTTATTTCTAAGCCTATTCAAGCAGAAAAGTATATGTGTTATTTTTACTACTCTTATATGACTAACAGAAGTATTTTTTCATTCTAAAAATAAAATGCACATTAAATACCCAATAATTAAAAGAGAATCTCCAAATAGGCAAACGTGTGACCCTCTCTCAAGTTTTCTTAAAAAAGAAAAAAAAAAGACAGCAACTTTCCATGTTATTTCTTGAAAATTAATCTAAAATGACAATCTCAATTAATTTACTTTAAAATGGTATAGGTAACATAAACAAGGTGGGAGGACTCTGTAAAAGGTACACAAAAACAATAAATGAGTAAGTATTTTATCATCAAAGCTCAGCAAAATGCGAACACTGGGAAAATGTAAGCCTCGGAGGAGTTCTCAGTAAGATGCAGTACAGTTTTGTTTTGCTATCAGCATCACAGCCGAGCTAATGAGGTTAGACGGTGAAGCAAGGACAAGGCTATGCCACTAGACAAAGGGCAGGACCAGCGAGAAAGGAAAAGGACTGGCCATTCTTAGGCATCACGGCCAACCGGGGTGTGCCATCCAGAAAGGAGAAAGCCCAGAATTGGGGGAGGCAAGACAAGAAGTTGTAAGAAACAAACTCTTGAAACAAGAGACAGCAGGCAAGGACAGGGCCGCCCTGCAAGCCTGGCTAGTGCCTCAAATGCAGCCGTGCAGCAACTGGGCAGTCTAAGAGCCCTCATTTTAAATGGGGGTGATGATAATTAGGAGGACCCCACTAGTGTTTATGAATGGAACCTACAAACCCTGTCTGTTACCTAGGGCCTATCACACAAAGGTAGCATTTCTTGCCATCAACTCTAACAGCATCTTCCAAAACAGAATCATAAATAACCAAATAAAATATAATTGAACTAATAGCAACATGAAAAAACAAGCATCCATATTAATAACATACAATTATCATAAAGAACAAATTTGTTTTCTCTCTGAAATAGGGCTTCACTACGATACACTCGCACACTATCACCAGCTCCTTAATTATACTAAAATATGTACATTTTAAAACTGAATTTAGAATGAGCTTGAGTAAAAGGTGAAAATGCGTAAGTGAAATTCGGGGGGGGGGAGCACAAACCTGAAAAGAGGGACACCACAAAATTCCAATGGAGCACGTGAACACAAAGTAGAGGTCTCTCCCCAAGCTGTAGGTTACAAACGTGGCAACTGCCACCAGAAACTCCACCTTCACCACTCCAACACTTATAGCCATATAAGGCCCCCAAATTACCTTTCACTGATACGGAAATGCTCTCCATCCATACTCTCCATCCTAAGGGTCTGATTGTCTGGACCACTGTACTCCTTCCATTCTATAAATCAGCTAAGTTTCCACCTTTCACCTTTCCTTCCCTTCCCATAATTAAAGCTCAATTTCACCCTCGTTGGCATATGAATGGTCTCCAATCTTTATATTTCATCCTGCTGCTCTATGGCTTTTGAACACAAGCTCCTAAAATGTCTATTTCAATAAAGCCAATGGAAACAAACACCTCATCTTCATCCTGGTTCCTCTCTTTCTGTCACTCAACTCCTCAGCTCTCCTTTCTCACTTAAACAGCCCAGGAAACACAAGCTACCATTTCCTCTCTGGCTAGGTGACCTCTTCTCTCTTCCTACTCCAGTGCCAAACACACTAACTCAGGTACAAGGTGTCAAAGGGCAGAAGGAGAGACAGGCAGTGATAGTCCATGAGCCAAGCAGCAATATTTCCAAAAGGTAATAGCTAAACCACATGTCAACAGTGCCCAGCAGAGTTACACGTACTATTTTTGACAGCATAGCAACTAAAAACATGTATGAACAATGATTAAAGGAAAAGGTAAAAAGAAATCTAAGTAGTAAAAAATAAATTCAGAATTAGAAATTTTCAGTTATTTAAAAAAAGATATGCCTTTATAATTGAATTGTCACCACTTAGATTTAAGTCATTGTTTTAACCTTTTATCTGTAAAAATATAAAATTTCTTTCAAGAGTAAATATTACTAAAACAAACTTCAGAAATCAAGAATTATGAATCACGTCACTTAGATGCCATTAAAATATATTTGTACCCCCCATAAAATGCCATTCAAGATTTTATGAAGCACCAGTTCCTAGCACAGTATTGGCAAGTACATTAAACAGGACTCTACATTCACATGGAAAAAGGGAGGCAGCACCCAATTACAATTAAAAGCTTTGGTGACTTAAACACAGATTAAATAGAGAAATGAAAATAAACATAACTTCAAAATTCCACCCTCCCTACAGCTACGTTTGCTGTTTCAAATGGTCTCAGTTCAGTCACCAGCTGGGGCTGAGGAGTTAAATACAGCCATAAGCCTAACTCTATGGTAACTAACAGGACAGGGAACCCCGTGGGTAAATTTCCCACCATGATCCACCCACAGCAGCTAATCTCCCCCACAACCCACCCATCCCCCAGAAGACAATGGAAGTTTTACTCAATTTATAACCATTTCATCAAGCAAGGTAGGACAAACTGTTGGTTGGTTTGTTTTTACCTCAACTGTGCATCTTCTCCTGTTCAAATGGCTTCCCCATGTTTTCCACAGCAATTACCTTTGGGGGAAGTCTGCTTTGGGACAGGTTAATGCTGTGGGGAGACTCTTCAAATACAAGCACGGATAGTGAGACAAATGCATACAGACACTTGCCTCTGAGGAGCTGGGAGCCTGGCCACTACCAATCTTTTGTACTCACTATTCTGCCTTCTGTAGCTTCTCCAAGCAGCCCTCCAAAAGTGATTACAGGAGACATACAGGCACAGTATAGGAAAAGAATCGAGGCCAGGCACTGCAGACTTAATGCATCCTTGAAGTCACTCAAGAAAAAAGGTGCTTTCCTTTTGATGTCAAGTATCAAACCACCAAAAAGCCTAAATAGGTGAGATGAAACTCGTCAAGCTGTAGACTAGAGGATTCTAACTAGTTCAAACTAAATCTATGGGGTACATAAAATTGTAGGTGCTTACTGTTTGCCAATAAAAATTTAAATCATGGTATAACTTATAGAAGATTACCTCATTGACTCTAATGAAATGATGTCAGAGGAAAGATAAATCTCATTAAGTTAATGGAAACATAAAATTATATTATAGATTATATGCTGAAAAGGCCGCAGGCAAATGACTTTATAGGAGTAACTGTAACTTTGAATGCAAATATACAACTAAACATACAATCAACAAAACCTAACCAGCCATTCACATAAATGTGCAACTGCAACTCTATTCCTTATCTGTAATACAGATGTGAAAGGCAATGGACAGAAATACAGAGAAGGCAATTATATCTTACACAGTCCTTAGAATGAATGTAGTATACTAAGCTTTAATACAGAAGTCAAAACTATTTTTAATGATTTTTAACTTTTGATTTATTTATGTGAGTATTTCTGTCCAGGGGAAAAAAACCCTTAAAAGCTATTTCAGTATATTATTATATACTGTATATATTATATATATATATACATATATATGTATGTATGTATATATATATATTATGCATGTTAATAAAACTACGAGGTTTTAGTGGGAATAAAAAAATCTGTATTTACATTAAAACATCAAAATTATACCTTTTCAACTTTAAAAAATTAGGCCTTTAGATATATTTAATTTGAAACTATTCCAATAAAATATAAGCATCCTAGCAGACAGGACTCTTCTTCTGTTCAATGCCATGCTTCTAGCTAGTGGAACCCTGCCTGGTATACAGACGGTGCCAAATAAACACTGCTGAACTGAAAATTGTAGTCTGATGACTCAGGAACAGGTGATTATGCATACACCAAATGCAAGAAAATGGGTAAATATTAAATTTATGTTTTTGAGGGTTTGGGTGCTTCAAGCTTTACCATTCTAATTTTTTTAAGTTAAATACTAAAATAAATGCTGAGGGCATGTTGATAACTAGAAATGATTCTAAAATCTGTCACAAAAGAAATCATCTTTCAAAGATACCAATGACAAAATAGAAAATGAATCTCCATCATCAAATAAACAACTGATTATTTAACAGGTGGCAAAGGAGGCTCTCAGGTACTTGAGATGGATGGGCATCTAACTAGGTACTTCTACCTCTAAAATACGAAGAAAAGTACAGCCCATGGGAGACCAGCATTATTGGCAGAGAAATAAAATCTTATTCTGCTACATTCACAAAGACTCCTACATTTCACTAGTCATTACAGTGATTGTGTTGAATGTATTAGTTGTTGTTCTTGTCAACAATGAGTCTGTATATGATATCCTAGTTTTATAAATGAAGATTTGACCCCAGGTCCTTTAGCTCCACAGTGACTACCAGTACCCCATGTAATAGCAATAGCGGTACTTCTCTACAGTATGGAAATGCTGTCACAATAAGTTAGGACAAAGTATTTTAAACATATTTCATTACATTTTAGCAGGCAGCATTTCTATCCTTTACTCTAAAATTAACTTTCTAATTTCTCTAATAAAGTTTCCAGATGCCAATAGTAGGGTCTAATCATGCTTGTCCATCTAATTTTATAGTATTTCAAAAAGTAATGTTCATATAAGCTTTAAATCCATGCACAATGTATAAAAATCATTCACTGTAATTCCTCTTTCATCTCTTAATTCTTTAACTAGGAAAAGGATCTATATTTTCTTTCAGGACCTTCTAGAGGTCACCAAAAAGCCCACATACTATAATAGCTACATTTTTGAATATATGTCCTATTATATTCACTTTAAAGTAAAGATGGGTATAATTATTAAAATTGTTTTCAAATGCATGAAAATTCTCCTTAATGTCATATCTTATAGAAATGCATTTTTACAAAACCACAGAAGAAATAATGTATGAGATTAGATTCCAAATATCTGAGGAGTTAAAAGAGAAGACTGCTGATGCCTTTCCATTAAATCAGTGCCTAATCCCCCAAAGTAACATCTGTACCCACCGTCCAGTCCTCTGCAGTTCAGGCCCAGCATGATGAGCTGCCTCCTTAGGAGGCTCAGCAGACATTGGAGCAGATCCATTGGGAAACACTGGAATCTTCCTCTTTTCCTGAATTCCACAAAAATATCAATTTTAAGAAAACTGACAAGGTATCTGTGATGGCTAGAGGGAATATTACATCTCATGAGGATTTTAGACAAGTACACTGGAGCAAAAACTGTTTCCTAGTATAACCTTTTAAAACAATAACATTTAAAAATAAGATAGAATTTAAAATAATTTACCATCTCTTTCCGTTCACATTTTAAATTTACAATTAGCTTCCTGAACCTTCTAACATTAGTGGACCATAAGATAAACTCATACACACCATTTCAAATTTCTGTTCTGCAATAACCGTGGCTTTAATTAAAGTTTCCACTGCTATGATAAAACACCATGACTAAAAGCAAATTCAGAAGGAAAGGGTTCAGCTCATTTGTACTGATCATATTCCTTCATGAAGGGAAGTCAGGATCAGGAACCTAGGGGCAAGAACTGGTACAGAGACACTGCTTGATCCTCATGGCTTACTCAGCCTGCTTTCTTATAGCATCCAAAACCACCAGCCAAGGGTAGCACCACCCACAGTGAGCTAGACCCTCCCACATCAAGCATCAATCAAGAAAATGCCTTACAGACTTGGTTACAGAAGCATTTTGTCAAGTAAAATTCCCTCCTTCCTGTATAACTCAAGTGTATGATAAGCTGACGCCAGCCAGCATAGCTCTGAAAATAAACATTCTCCCAAAGAAGCATATTTTTCACAAAAATATTTACAATACTACTCACAGTTGACTACCAAAGAACTTTTACATTAATTTTAAAGACCCTACTTTCTCCACACACCTGCACTGCCAGCCCTCAGGGGGCTGAGGCAGAAAGACTGAATTCATGATCAATCTGGGCTATGAAAAGACCCTGTGCTCCAAGAAAAGGGGTGGGAGAAGAGGGAAGGGGGGGAAATCAACAACACTTTTCCTTTACTAAAACATTTCCTTAGAAAAGTAACACAAGAATTCCTTCAGTGACCTCTTATATTTTATTTAAAGTCAATAAAAAAAAAAACCACTTCTAAAATATAGGATCTTCTCCCCGATGTGAACACAAAGGAGTATTTCACAGGTTACCTCAGGAAAGAACTGGCTAAAGGAATACCTATGGGCAGATAAGCACAGATGGTGGGAAGAGGGAGGGAATGGAATACACAGGGAGCGAAAGACAGACACAATAAGCCATGTGTGGTTGTAAGTGCTCCCGATGTCTAAGACTCCCATGGACCTAGATATTTTATTAATATAGAGTAGCTAGACTGGGATAAAAAAGTAAGATCACCACTTGAAAATGTCAAAGCTGGAGCCCAGCTGAAGAGAGGGAGGAGGGATTATATAAGTAAAGGGGGGGGGGGAGGGTCAAGATTATGATGGGGAAACCCACAGAAACAGCTGACCCAAGCTCATGAGAGCTCACAGACTCTAGACAGACAGCTAGGGAGCCTGCACGGGACCAACTTAGGCCCCCTGCATGTGGGTGACAGTTGTGTAGCTTGGTCTGTTTGTGGGACCCCTAACAGTGGGATCAGGACCTGTCCCTGGTCAGAACCTAATTCCCTATGCTGGAATTCCCTATGCTGGAATGCCTTACCCAGCCTTGATGCAGGGGAAGGAGCTTGGTCCTGCCTCAACTTGATGGGCCATGCTTTGTTGATTCCCATAGGAGGAAGGCCTTCTCTTTCTGAGGGGGGAGGGGGGGCGCATTAGAAAGGAGGTAGGAGGAGGAAATGGAAGGAGAGGAGGGAGGGGAAACAGATTGATATGCAAAATTAATTAATTAATTAGAAAAACTGAAGTCACCAAAGATAAATAAAAAAGAAAATGTCAAAGCTAAAACCAATGTATGTATATCTTAGATCAAAGGGGAAACAAAAAACATTACTTAAGCCCAAGAAAAGAACAGAAGAACACATTACAGACCTACGTTGTAGCTAAAACATGAAAACATGAAGCATCAGGCAGTGGCTCATGCTTACAATTCTAGTATTTGAGACACTAAGACAGGAGGATCACTGCAAGTTTAAGATAGTCTTGTCTACACACAGAGGGTTCCAGGCCACTCAAAGCTAGATAGTAAAACATTGTCCCAAACAAAAAACAAAACAAACAAAACAAAACAAAATTTCTTTTCTTTTCTTTTTTAAAGGAAAAATTTAAAAGATGGGGGCAGAGGAGATAGCTCAGCAGTTAAGAGCACTGGCTTATTCCCAGCATTACCACGGTGGCTCACAATTATGAATAACTCCAGTTTTGGGTTATTTGATCCTGGGTACCAGCCATGCATGTGGTACACACTCATATGCAGGCAAAACACTCATACATATAAAATAAAATAAATGTAAAAAAATGAAAATAATTAAATATGTAGGCAGAAAAGGCGAAAATACATCTTTACTGAAGGACAGTGGAAGGAGGGAAGTAAGTCAGCTAAGAGCAGAAAGAAGTAGAAAAAGACCCACATTTAAAATGAAATCTAAAATAATTTTACGAACTACTCTTTGAAAAATATAATAAATAATTTACCTATTAGCAAAACCTAAGATATGTCAGGATGTAACTCCACAAACCAAGGAAAGTTTAATAATATAAATGTTCCAAGAAAATTTAAAATCTGGGCAAAATGGATAATATACTAGGCAAACAAAATTTATCACAACTGACCTAAGAAAGAAGAAAAGCTCACATAAACCAATTTTCATAAAAGAACAAAGCAACTTGTTAGGGTCCACAATTGGCAAGAGATGTAGCTCGAAAATGTATACCAGAAATTTCCCAAACTTGCAAAAACAAATTATTCCATACTATTTAAAGTGCTCAAGAACCAGCACCCCAAAGTTATTCATTGGTTTTTGTGAAACAAATAGCAATTGAAGACAGATTTAAAAAAAAAAACAAAATATATATATATATATATATATATATATATATATATATATATATATGTAGATACGTATATACAACTTAAAATTATGCAATAACAAAAGAGCAGGCAGACTATTAACATTTCCATGTCCAGGTACAGAATATTCGTACGAACGACCACAAAGCTGACAGACAAACATCTGCTCGGGATAAGAGAGTACAAGGGACATAGAAACCCAGGTCCATTCTCTCTGACTCTACCTCTGATTTCTACTGCTTTTACTTTTAGTGCTAGGGTCCAAATCCAGGGCCCCAGGCACAATGACAAAGTGTGCCCACTGAGCCACATCCACTGTAAATAGTTGTGACTTTTGAGTCCTAAAAATGCATAACTTACACTTTTTATTAGAAGTTTTGAGCTTAAAAAAGAAAACAACCCCAGACGCATACCTAGATGCTTACCTGAGAAGGAACACTTTTTGGTGGCTCTATGCGTATGGAAGGATCCCATTCTCCTGGAGGAAGGACAGTCACTTGATCTAAAAATTCATCAATTCCAGATAAGAGGTCATTTCGATCTTTTGCTTTATAAGCTACATCATGAAAAATCTAAGGAAAAAAGACACTGAGCATGAGGACTTTACAGTGGAAAGCAAGATCTACCTGTATCAAAATGCACTTTAGCTGCAGACACTGCAATGGAGCAGCAGCACCATGGCTAGCAGTGAACACTGCATTCAGGGGACATGCTTTCAGTTCCCAGAACTGTGGGGGCTCACACCTGTCTAACTCCAGTTCCTAGGGACCTGACTCCTATGTGCACACAAGAATACAATGTGAAATAAATAACAAAATAAAGCCGTAAAAATGACATAAATTCTTATTAGCTGCAGGTATTTACCTTACCTAGCAAGAATTAGCCCGTGATTAGTATTAACAGATCAATCAACAACAAACCAAAGAAAATGGTGAGTTGACACAAAGGAAAAATTTCACAAATAAATAATAATTTGTTACAAAGATGAAAATGAATTCACTGCAAATTAATTCATTACAATAATGTCATGTCATTCTTTCTGCCATTAAAATGTTATTTATCCTGAAGGAATAATTACGGACAAAGATATTCTGCTTAATAAATATTTATTGGTTATCTATTATTTGCTAGTTGCAATGCTGTGTGCTACCAAAAACAAACAAACAAATAAAAACCCTGCCTTTCTTTCCAGGCAGAACAGAGTTAACTGCATAGAAAGACAAACTTCCAAGAGAGGTAACTGTTCACAAAAGAAGAAAATTAAGGGAAGTGAAGAATGGAGGGAGAGAAAAATAGGCAGTCAAGCAAACTGCTGCTGAGAAGACTGATAACCCCAGCAACAGAGGCAGGAAGAGGAGAGTTGGTATGAGTCTGAGCGTAGTCCAGGCTACACATCAAGACTTTGTCCAAGAAAAGCCAACAAACCAAATAAACAAGCAAAAGACAAAACAGAGGTGCTAACTGAGGGAAAATCACAGCACAGGTAGTGTGCAGAGGGATGGTGCAACAGTCCTTAGGAAAACAGAATCATAGTTGTAATGTACAGGGGTACAAAAGCAAAACCCATCCAAGAAACAGAAAGGATGCTCCTATGGCCCAAACCAAGTGGAGGACAGGTAGTATCTGAATGCAAGCATGGGGAAGTGAGCAAGGTCCCTGACAACACCAGGAAAGGGTCTGCATCGAAGCTTAAAGCAAATGTGGTGGGTCAGTCTTTACCCCAGCACGTGAGAAACTAAGCTAAGAAGACTGCCAAGAGCCAGGTCAGGCTGAGCTACACAACCAGTTTGAAGCATTCTTGGGCTATACAGAAACCATAACGCAGAAAGAAAAAAAACTTTAAATAATGAGGCTGTGGATACATGTTGGATCAGGAGATGTTAGATGATCTACATGTACATATTACTACTGTCAAAATAGGTAAGAAATTCCAAAGATAAAAACCCAGTAAATCACTTTAACTGCCATAGTAAAGGTCAGAGTCTAAACCAGAGAAATGGCAGTGATTTAGAAAATAGATGAATAACTGACCCAGATCAGATTTGGTTTACAGGATTTCTGATGCCCTGCGAGATGTGTTGGAATGTCTGGCAAGCACTGTTAGAAATCTCTCTCTAAGAAGCAGAAGTCCTGATGACTAAGGAGTTTACAGTCAAATAGGACATCACAAAATCAGGAGAGAGAAAGAGAAACATCATAAGTCCCAAGGAAACCCCAAAGAAGCAACATCCTGAAATCAAACAAAATTCAAAATGTCAATGTAGTAAATGAGGTCAAATTAAAAGAATAGCACAAAGTACATGAAAAACTACTACTATTTCCTGAGAAATAGGTCTTAAAACTCACAACAAATCCATGTGTTAGAAGCGTACATATGAAATAAAATAGCATAGACATCAAAGATAATTTTATAAGCTTTACTATGAGAGAAAGAAGGACTAGCTCAAAGGGATTTTGACTGTATTTTAATTACCTCATCAGTCATGAGAGTGGCTATGGATCTGCCAATTTCATGGTATTGTGGAGCCTTCCCTGCTGGGCCCAGTAACAGAAACAAAAACCTAAGAAAAGATTAAAATATGCAGATTTTAAAAGAAACAACATACACACACACACATCCAGGAAACTTTTAAAAAATGATTCTATTATAAATACAGAAACAACACTCAGACCTTTGCAATCACCCACAAGAATCAAGAAAATAATGGTAATTCTATTCAAAACAGATCTTAACTGAGTGTAGTGGGCAAGCCTGCTATTCTAACACTTGAAAGGCAGAGGCAAAGAGGATCTGAGTTCAAAGTCATCCTCTCAGCTCAAGCTACAGAAGATCCTATTTCAAAAACCAAACCAAAACAAACAAAAATTTGATCATGCAACTATAGAAGGCATTCACAATTTACTCTACCAGTGTTTCCCTTTCCCAGCTTCCTTAGTGCAAAACAGTTACTAAGGAAGTGTTTTTCCATAAAAGTTTCCATCTTTTATATCCTTCTGGATTAAGCAACTTACTCTGGTCTGAACTGACAAAACAGCAAAGTTGTACAATCTTATTAGGGTCTCCAAGTCACCAGGCTGACCTCAAACTCCTCACTCACTCTTCCAAGTGCTGGGTTACAGATTTGCAGCACCACACTGTTTCCACACTGATTTCTCTTTTGAAAGAAGGTTCATGTATCCCGGGCTGATCTAGCACTTACTAAGTAGCCAGAGGTAACCTTGAACTTTGGATCCTCCTGCCTCCACTGCTCCCTCTACCACACCTGGTTTATGTAGTGCTGGGGACTGAACCTGGACTTTGTGCATGCTAAGCAAGCTCTCTGCCAACTGAACCACATCCCTTGTCCCACACTCATTTCTTGAAAGTAAGGTCTGTCGAATCAAAATAGTTCAGAATATATCCACAAAAAAAAGTCTGCAGTCTGAAACTATTTAGATCAAAGCTTTAATACTATAAATATGGCATTTAGTCAAGTAACCTTTCTGGGAGGAAAAAGAATTTCCAACTTCTATATCAAACCTTTAACTATTTTAGTGTTCAATAAAAAGTAGAGTCGTACCCTATTAATACTAGAGCAGATATTAATATCTTAACTATTTTTGTAGGTTACCATACAAAATAATGGGTTTCATCATTACTTCCTCAACCTTATATAAAATATTAATATTCTTATGCAAACACTTATCCTCCTGCTTTATAGAAATTTACATATGAAATAATCAAATAATTTTGCCGCACTTATTAACACTGTATCAGTAGTGAAAATGGAGCAAATATATATAAAGTAAGTATATTTCCATCAAACTCCTATTAATTTTTAATTACTAAATCAGTCATGAGAATACATTATCAACCACACCTCTTCATGGTACTGTGGAACCTCCCTGATGAAAAATCCCCCTAAGATGGTGCACACGCCTGAAGCTCAGCACTCAGGGGGCTAAGGCAGAAGGATTGCCAAGAATAGTAAGTCAACCTGGGCCATACAAGAGATTTCATCTAAAACAAACAAACAAACAAACAAAATGCTTCAAACAAAAAGTTACTTTCAAAACAAGTCACATTCACAATTAAGTTTCTGATACTAATGACTTGCAGAGATGTCCTTTTCATGGCCCATGAACTGATTAACATAATTTGCTATAATTATTATTTGTGGTCTCAATTTGTACATTCAATGTAAATGAATGGAAAACCAGAACAAAGAATTCTGCATGCATACACAAAGGATAGGCATTTCTAAAACGACTGACTGGGTTTAGATTGTATCTCAGAACAGAATGAGATTTGAATATGAGCAGCCCCTTCTGGGTCCCCAGCACAAAATGAATCTCAGTGACTGGCTTTGTAAAACAAAAGCTCATAAGATACCAAGCTTCTTATGAAGATACAAATGAAGAGTTGTTTTTACACAGTATTATTATAGCTGGAGAGGGTGACTCAGAGCTACGATCTCATCATTTGGGAGTGTAAAGGAGGTGTTAGAGGCTAGCCTGGGCTACATAGTAAGTTTCAGGTTAGCTGCAGAATGAAACATGGTAAAAGCTGGAGGAGCGAGGATATTTACACTCCAATACTCAAAAGCATTTTGGCACAATGACTGAATATCAGTAATTAGTAATTCAATAGTGCCTCTATTACACAAAGCAAGTATTCTTTCAGTGGGTCCATATGAACAGTCATGAAGGAGAATTGCTTTTTACCTAGTGGGCACAGGGACCTCAGTCAACCCGGAGAGGAGAACTGCAGGAGCCAATCTCACAAACGCAATGATAGGTCTCTCCAAAAAGTCCACTTCTCCTACCAAAACATTGGATGCCTCAGCTCCTGTGGGAATTTTCCTCATGAAATTCATGTCAACCTATTGACAAATAATTTAGAAATATGATTGCTTAGAGATGAATGAAAGAATGACTTTAAAACGACTACTGCCAAACAAAACTTGCCATCTAAAAGATGTATAATGCCAAAATTCCCACAGATATAAAGAACGAAGTAGACAAATACAAAAAGTGCAAGCAAAATTCATCGTCTATTGTTTTAACTACTACTATCTTTATTACTTTAGAGCTCTATATTATCAAACATAAACTTGAAAATTTTTCAATGAATAGACTATTTATTAGACACTGGTGAAGACACACAATGCACAAACTAACAATGGCTCATGAAATTATACACAGTGCTACAACATATTCATTTCATGACTTTCTATTATTAAGTATTATTGTTTCATATGTCTTTATACATCCTCCTTTTAAAAAAAAAAACTACCATTTCCTAGTATTTTTCCTTATGTGGAAAAACATGTTATTTACAATGCACATCTATAGCCTTGATTAGTTCACACATGGGACAATGTGTAAAGGAACTCAGCTGCCTGTGTATAATTACAAAACAGTTACACACATGACACTAGAGTGGGTGAAGCTCGCTCTCATTTATACACAGGTTCACACAGTTACTAAACGACTACTACCAAGACTATCTATGAAGAGAGAAAACCAGCACTTACAGCGGGCCTCTTGAGTCCCACTCCCAGTGTGCCACAACTACAGTGCCAGGAGGCAGACTCCTGCCCAACAAGAGACAGGGAGGGTATACAAGAATAGGCCAAGTAAAAAAGTGAAACTGACAGAGGAACAAAGATCAACCACAACTGCCATGCCTAGACAAGATCCACAATGCAAATGATAGTCATTTACTTTTCAGCAACAAAGAATAAATTCCAATTTAGCTAGGAACACTTTCTGAAGATCTGAAACAGAGCACTAATGAAAACAAGGTAAGTTAGAAATGACAACTGTAAGAGCCTTTATTGTCTGTTTTTAATTTTTGTTTGTTTTGTTCAGAGTAGTCTAGAGCTCACTATGTAACTCAGGTTAGCCACAAACTTGAGATCCTCTTGCCTTGGCCTCTAGATAACTAGGATTACAGGCATATGTCATCATGCTCAGGCGAACACTTTTCCCAAATAGTCAAAATCCCTAATTTTAAGTCTTTCTACAACGTGAGATTACAAAGCTCCACAAAACTACAATCCAAATCATTTAAACCTTTTTTCAGTGAAGTGTGCATTTGTGGACACACTATGAAACAGAATAAAAAGCTTGAAAAACCGAATCCTATTTGATATTTAAAACAAAGCTTTAGAAATAAGTTGTAAAAATGTCAATGTTTCATGAGTTAATAGTAAACTGACAGGCAGCAAATTAAGGTACTTCCCAACCATTAGGAAACTAGGCTGTCACTTGAGCTTAGTGCTGAAGAATAGAGGGTCTTTTTGTGTTGTTGTTTTCATCTTTATTTCAATTAATACTCATCAAACAAAATAAATTCATAGGGGCTTTTTGCTGTTGTTGTTTAAACCATGCCTCTATCTACCCACGCTTCCCAGTGGCATTCCAGAAGGTCCTGACACCATGAGTCAGTAATTCTGGGATGCAGTACAGCCCAGGAAGAAGGCTCTGTCCATGCTGCAATGTCGCTCCCAGAAAAGCCTCTTCAAAGACACCCAAGTTTCAGGGTATCTATGAACAGGTACAAAGAAGAATTCATACGTTTACAGTGTGTTCTTCTGACTTACGGACTTGGAGCCTACCCCAGTTTCTGTGCTAACACTTCACAGGCATCCTATGCAAGTGTGAAAGCACCAGTCTACTAAACAGTTGCTGTAAGTGATGGCAACAAAGCAGCACATTCCTAGTTATTTCTCAGGGGGAAAGCTAATGAAAATTTACAATTAATGAATTACCTTGCTGAAGTCAACAGTACTATTTTCTCTGCTTCCTCCACTTCCGTTACCTTTCATTTCACCACTTTTACTATTGTCCAAGTTTCCAGGAGCAGACTGTGGGGAAGCCAAAATCCCTGTATTTAAGGAAATACACAACCCAAATTAGTAAGAAGAAAATTCACCATGTAGCCTGATTCTGCTCATATCCTTAAAGCGATGGTTTGTTTATGAAAGCAAATGTGAGAGGTTAAAAAGTGCCAGGTGTTAGCTTCATACCAGCCACATGAATTAGAATACATCAACAGGATGAAGTTGTGTATCTTAATATTTAAAGCATTACAGAATTTACACAGTAGCCTTTTGAAAAGAAGTGAGTCTGTGGAACCACAAAAAGATCTGAACTAAGACCAGTCTGCTCGCTACAAATGTTTCTAGGTAACACACTCTGAGCACCTCTAGCACATGTAAATTGTATGGAACTCAATGAGGTCTAACTTCACCTAGGACACTCATATCAATACCAATATGAATTCTTTGATAAATTCCAAGTGTAATTCAGAAAATTTAAGAGCTACATTCAATCTTCATTAATCATATTTCCTTAAGAATTTTGATTTTGCGTTAGTAGTATTTATGTCTAATTTCTACTCTCATTCTTCCTAAGAAACCAAAGACCATAAACAAGCTTTCCCAGTATAAAGATTAAAAGTAAATAAAGAGATTTAGGTAAATAACACTCATCACTTGTAGCCATGTGACTGAATAATTCACTCACCCTCTCTGGTTCTGACAAGCCTATCTATAAATTAACATGGGACTAACATGGTTGTGTGAATTATAAATGTTGCATGTTCATGTTAGTATTTATTCAACAGCAGCTTTTCCTAGGAAGACAGCTTAAAAGCATTGCCTAGACTAATCTATCTTTACCACTGAGAGTTCTATAAAAAGCTCAAATCTCAAAAACTTAAATCCAAGCTGTATCAACAGATTTCTACCATTAAATACGTCTCGTTTTTCCTTAAAAGATAAAAATAAAAACTTCTAGTCCAAGAATATGAAAAAATTAATACTCAAAACACTGAACATTTTAAGAGACTGCAATATAATACAATCTACTACTTTACAAAAATTCAGTTAATATTTGTCAGTATCAGTCATTTGTTAAAATTAGTAATCACTTCTGCAATTTCAAGCCTATCAGATGTACTTGATACATACAAGCATGTTTATTCTTCTAGATGGAGCAATTATAACTAATGCACATAACTTAAGGAATCTGGGCTAGCTGCTTCAACTCTAGATGTAAGTCTCTGTGATAGTAACTTTTCTGGTCAACAGACTGGGGCATCGATACAAGTGAAAAACCTTCCTATAAAAAGCACTACACTTGATTTAGCCATGTAATTCTCAAATTAAACAATTCTGAAACAAAAAAAAAATTCTAAAATAAATACTTTTTTTTTTAATGTTGACTTAGCATGGAAAAGCTATTAAGATTCCTCATCTTTAACCTTTGTTCCTATGCTTTCAGAGTAGTGTCTCTTCCTCACCCAAGGGGGCTGGGAGGAATTATCCTTATCAGTGATTTCAACACACTCACATGCAAGAAAATCAAGAAGCAGCTTATTAAAACCCTGGTGACAACTGTGACTGAGCACTAGACTACAGACTGTTCAAATGTATTCTACAGGTTATCAAAAGAAGAACATAATGCAGTTTCTAGAATGGCTCGGCCACTAGACTGGATAGCTAAGAACAAGGAGGCCTGTCGAGATGGGGGAGGGGCAAAATCATTAGGAACGGAAAGAAGAAATCAAGTAAAATTCAATGGTGACAAAGACAGAAATTATGAGATTGCTTGGCTATGCTGGTCATCTTCAACCTGTCCCTTTTTCAAATGGCAGTGCATATTAAGAACATTTCACCTGCCAAGCATGTGAATATCAGCACTTAGAAGACAGAGACAAAAGGATCAGAAGCTCAAAGCTAGCTTGAAACCTTGTTCTTTGGAAAGAAACTAAAGCATTCTACCACGATTCTCTCTGAGTAATCTTTTCAAGCCTCAGCTAAGTTAAAAGTCTCTCCTTAATTGGTAAAGACTCCTGGCTCCTGATACTAATTCTGCTGACCGAGAATCAAGTCAGTGAGCAGCAAATGCAGCTTCCTGCCACTGCATACTATGTCAAGTTCTAGAAGTCCTCCTCTACATAGCATCAGCTTCCAGACTCCTGCTAGAAACAGCTAAATGGTCTACGTGCAAATGGCAGTTATAAAGGAAGTGCTGACAGCTGATCCTATGACTTTTCTCAGTAATTATGAGCTTTATTTTGTCTTCAGAAAACCAACCATTTTAATTTAATCTATTCAGAAAAAACTCCTATCTTGTCATAAAAATTCATGGTATTAAAATAATACGTATACCTCAATTTTCTTTCTCTCTTTCTTTCTTTCTTTTTCTTTTTCTTTTTTTTTTGCTTTCTTTCTTTTTTTATTTCTTTGTTTCTTTCTTTCTTTCTTTCTTTCTTTTTCTTTTTCTTTTTTTTTTGAGACAGGGTTTCTCTGTGTAGCTTTGCGTCTTTCCTGGATCTCCGGCTGTAGACCAGGCTGGCCTTGAACTCACAAAGATCCGCCTGCCTCTGCCTCCCGAGTGCTGGGATTAAAGGTGTGCGCCACTACCACCTGGTGCAGTATGAAGTCTTACCCAGAGTGACCTCTGCAGCCCCATAAGCAAGTTTTGTAATCCACTTACAAAACTATATCCACACCCTGAGTATAGAGCCTGCAGTTCTGACCCTCAGCCTGAGTACAGAGCCTGTAGTTCTGACCCTCAGCCTGAGTATAGAGCCTGCAGTTCTGATCCTCAGACTGAGTACAGAGCCTGCAGTTCTGATCCTCAGCCTGAGTATAGAGCCTG